ATATACCATTAATACAAAAATGTCAGTATTCACCTCAAAAGCTAACAAAACCTTTAAACAGACTTATTAAGAAGGGATATTGTTACGATACTGTTGTCAGGTCATTAAAGATTGCATATTTTGGCTTTGATATTGATTCAATTATAGGGTCTTTGCATCGGAATTAAACATATTTATTCTAAAACCAGTTGTTGGCATGACACGGGTTATGTTCTTCACATATATTTTATGATGGTATAATACTAAACCCCTAACAGGAGGGATTGTGCCTGATATTCATATGATGAAGACATAATCTTTCAATCAGTTTAATTGAGGTCTGGAGCTGGCATGTCAGTAACTGCTAGTAGTCTGTTGTTATTTATATATTATTGTCATTTTGTTTATTTTCTTTTGTTTCCTATTCTGACATCGGACTCGGACTTCTCTTAAACTGAGTTTTACTGTGCGTACTGTTGTACGTTTGTTTTTTCTACATTGGCTAGAGGTATAGGGGGAGGATTGAGGTCTCAAAAAACATGTTTAACCCCGCCGCATTTTTGCGCCTGTCCCAAGTCAGGAGCCTCTGGCCTTTGTTAGTCTTGTATCATTTTTAATTTTAGTTTCTTGTGTATAATTTGGAGTTTAGTATGACGTCCATTATCACTGAACTAGTATTCATATTTGTTTAGGGGCCAGCTGAAGGACGCCTCCGGGTGCGAGAGTTTCTCGCTGCATTGAAGACCCATTGGTGGCCTTCGGCTGTTGTCTGCTCTATGGTCGGGTTGTTGTCTCTTTGACACATTCCCCATTTCCATTCTCAATTTTATCATTAATACAAAGCCGTTAAAAAAACCTGTCAGTTGAAATTTAATGAAACAAAATTATATGTAGTGGCATCGTACCCATTTTCTATTATTTTCTACTTAGATCAGGATTTTGTATGACGTTTAATATTTGTAATTTGTTTTAGTAAGATTTTATTTACAGATAGATTTTTGGTATTCGTTATAATCTGGCGGCTGCTTACAGAATGTCTAGTACGTACAATACTTATCATATTATCTAATAATAACATTAACGACATCAATTTTATTGTCCCAGAGAAGCATTTAAAAAATTTGAAAGTCCAAAACCTAATACAAACGTGAAAGAGCTCATATAAAACTACAAAGTAAAGCCAAACACTTACACGGAACCAGTATATATAACAACTCTTATTATATGATTTGATTTTTTTATTAAGGTCAAATAAAGTAAATTTAAAATGCTACGTTATTTTTCACGACATTTGAAACAGTATTGTTCAAGTAAAATGATATAGCAAAACGTAAACTATGAAAAAAATATTTAGAGGTTGATAGAGTACTTTTGTGATTGTTGATCAATTTAGTACAAATATTTACATAAGAGAAGAATAATGAATTAAATAAGATAATAATGTATTTTAAATGAACCACTTGATATTTCTACACAAATATATAATAATGTAATGTTGTGTACAAGTAGTAATTCAGTACCAATTATACAAATTTCGTTCAGACATTTGGCGCCATCTATCATTATTTCGAAACTATATACTGTTCTTCTAAGTAATAGAAGGTTATCTTGAATAATTAACCAGCTTGATGTTTAAACCGTAAATGTATGTGTTTTATAACTTCAGCATAACATTCAGTCAGCAAATATTAAATCCACTTTGAGGACGAGAACATGCCAATGTCAAGATCATGAAACCTGCTTGGTTCTTAACTGACACTTTCTTACCGTGCTAGCTTCCAGTGTACCAGGCAACAAGTAGACATGTCAACCTAAATGCCGAGTGAAGATGCATCAAATTCCAAATTTAAAAGTCTTTTACTTGACACTGCCGGGGATCGAATCTTCGACCATCTTAATTTGAGTGAATCAAAGTGCTGTTGGAGTAGAAAGCATACAATTAATCTTCCAATCTTGGCGCCAACGTTGATGATTTAGTACAAATAGACAAAAAATAGGAAAAACAAATTAAGAGTACAATGATTACACAAACCTGTATCTGTTAACCGAATCCTTGCGGCTTTGTTATGGCTCCGATGTGTAGATTACACTCTCCTGTATTGGCACTGTTTGGAATTATTTGCAACAAGATATAACTTTAAAGACCCAAGGAAGTGTTCCTTGTAGAAACTGAATAAAACATGACTGAAAATTAGGAGAAAAAGGGGATGCCGTTTTGGGATAAAAAAAATCAAATAAAATCGATATGAACAGATGACCATTAATGTAAATTTTAAACTATCCCAAAAAAAGATGCACCGCAAAGAATGGCTAAATGCAACGTTCGTTTGTTTGTCAGTTTTTTCAAATGTTATCACGGCCAATGAAAAAGTCACGACAACTTTGTTTACAATAATACAAAAGAAAGAAAACAGGAATCCAAAAAATATTGCCATCAGTTTGGCAGTTCAAAATACCAAACAATCCACCAAACACACGTCTCTACTGATGGGCATATAATGCAGGTCGTCTTTTATGGAGAAGATATTGAATGTGTTCAGCAAAAATACAATACAATTCCAGAACGTGCAATTTTGTTTCGATGCTGTACTATTACACTACTGTCCTAGATTAGGAGGGTTGGGGTCTGTGATCTTACAAACATGTTTAACATTTACAACCTTGTCCTGCTGCGTTTGTTTGATAGTTGTCTTATTTGAAGTCCTCCCACTTCCCTATTTTGATATTTACCCCGAATAAAATTTTATAATGTTTGTCCCAGGCCAGAAACCTGTATTATGGTTACCGTCTGTCATAATTGTTTCCGTTCAATTTTATAGGCATAAGTCAGTTCCCTTTTTTTTAAATGTCTCACAATTTGTTATCTCGGTGCCTTTGTAGCTTACTTACTTTACGGTATGGTTTATGGTCATTGTTGAATCCCGTACCGCGACATATAGCTATTAACTTAAATTCTTGTCCTTTTGTCTTTTATTACAGTTGGTTTTTTTTTGTTGTCTCTAATGTATAGTTGTCCCATTTGCGATCATTCCATATATCTTTTTATAGCTATCTTTATTATCGTGTATGTTTATGATTGTTGATTGTCCAGAAGCTTTCGTATAAACGCCTTCAGGACTAATATACTGTCTCAAAAAATGACGGACAACATATTGATTGATTGTTTGTCTAAGGTGCAGTGACAAATATTTCATGAATTTCTGGACGAAAAAACAGTTAAAACAATAAAATAATTATATATTTTTTTGGAAAGTTGGTAGACAGAGACGAAGAACACAAAATATGAAGTGACACTAGAAAAGAAGGTTTACATTTTTGGAAAGAAAAATTGACTTTGTATTAGACCACATATCACAGCAACCCTTCAATGAAATGAAAGGCTTCGTTAACTTCTTAAACAAGGCTGTGTATTTGTACCGGCATTCTTCAGTCAGCCCAATATGAGACGGATCTTACTTGGGGACGGAGGAAGTTTATGCGACTTTTTATATACTTCTGTCACCTTTTGGGTGTTTTATAAGCAAATAATACATTTTACATAATGTTGTATAACGTGGTATCAGAGACATATAATACGTATTATATGTCTCTGGTGGTATGGTACGGTTTTACCACAGCTTATAACATCCTGTTAATAAAATAATGCGAAAAGCTATAATATTTACTTTTATACTCTTCATTTAGAAATTCTCAGGAAACTAAGGTTCAAACTCTCGCGTTCAAAGTTGACCTTAGCATGATTCAGTTATTCTCTTTATGTCCCTTTTTGTCATAAAGCGCCTCGAGTGTTCATATATATATAATTACATTATATGAATACTTCATTATTTTACGTTAATCTCAACAGCAATCTCGCGTCATTCTGAAATTAACCTTCATTTCAAAATGAAATGTAACATTCATGATGACACGAGCTTCCACGATAAAGTGCACAGGTAAATAAAAGAAAAACTTGATAGAAATCGTGTTTTCGTGATCCTAGCAAAAACATGTAATTATAAGTATTGAATGCTTCTTTTAGTAATTTTATAGGGTTGTAAAAGCGTTGACCGTGCGCACATTTTTAGAATAAAGCGCTTCCGCTTTTACACCCTAATAAATTTACAAAAAGAAGCATTCGATTCTTAGTATTTATTTTGGGGGTCGGGCATTCCTGATGAAGGTTTATAAAGTAAAGCGTTTTTGACGCACCAAATTTATAAAGTGTTACATTTATTTCCATTTTCATTGAAATTCAATCCTTTGGACATAGAACCATATACACTTTTACAACTTTATCAAGTCCTGTAAAATATCCCTTTACATGCTTGTTTGTTTGATGTTTACTAGATGCTGCATTAGTTATTAAGCGTCGAGTATTTTGTTTTCGAATGCAATATATGCTATGTTTACACTTTTTTATTATCACATTCAAATAAGTATTTACACGGCATACATATAGGGTAGATAGTGGTGTACAACGGTCAGATAACTCGCTGATTATAATTATATAGTGATATGAAATATTGTAAATTTAGATAATTATCTAATACAGAACGCGTGAAAGTCATGCACTTCTAATATGGATTACGAGTAGCTAAAACATGTGACCTCAGTAAACACGATGACACTGCTAAAGTTGACCTCTACACATGTGGATATTTATATTTTATCTTGGCGTCTAACCTTATGACATCGTTTTTTTACTTATACCGATGTATGGTAACGTTTGCTAATGTACCGGGAAAATTGACAGAAGTAAGCTCAGCTATAATGTGAATGTTTTCGACAAGGTGTAATTAAAAATTTCAATTGACAATATTTTGCCGTTACCGATATTTTACAATTTTTCGGAGTTTATGATATCGTGATTTCCGGACTGATGAGCAATTCTATCCAGATATAGTGTTGCTAGTTTTCTGACATAGTATTGCCATCTTCTCTAGTATAGTTTTTCGTGATTTGTGCCAATGTGTTTCCAGTTTTTCTGACAAACGTATTCTTTGAGATTTATGTTCCTTTTCTTTCTACATTGTGTTGCCGTAACTTTTTTGACATTATTGCCACGATTTCTCTGGCATTACGGTACCGTCAAGTTTACATGCATGTTTTGTATGTATCGTTTACATCTCGTAAACATTAGTTTAAATCCTGGAATTGTATTCTTGTTGGATTACCGCAAGTTTTTATTAGCTTATACTTAAAATACGAAACAAATCATGGATACCAAAATGCGTCGCATGTCTCCACTGGAAGACGAAACCGGATTGGTTGACATGGATGAGGGTGACGCTAAAGGAAGAAAGAGAAAATTGCAAATGAACTTCGGGGCTCTATGTGTCATCTGGTTATTCACATTTACAGCATATTCTGGTTTACAAAATCTAGAAACCGCGCTGTATCAGGATGTAGGGTTGTATACCTTAGCTGCGTTGACAGGTGGCGGTGTCATCGCATGTCTTTTAGCACCGACAGCTATCAGTTACATCGGATCCAAAGGAGCACTTATTGTATCTTGGATATGTCTTTCATTCTTTGTAGCCGCTAATTTCTTTGGTTTTATAGGAAGTGGCTTTAAATATTTGCTTGTGGTTGCTGGCGGAGTTGAAGGTCTATCTACTGGATTAATGTGGACCGCACAAGGATCTATAACTACGACAATAGCCATGGAGTATCATGAAATAATAGGGGAACCCATGGAGAAGACCCTAAGTACACTTTTTGGAATATTTTGTATGTTCTTTCAAAGTACTCAAGTGTGGGGTAATTTAATATCTTCTCTTGTTTTGCAACAAACCTCCCAAATTACAAAACACGAATCCAATTTCACATTCTGTGGAGCAGATTTCTGTCCATCAGATGTTCTGGCGTTGCGAGGAGGCAAGCACGGGAATGGCACTGGCGGGCCGTCAAGTTTGCCAGAACCTCGACTCATAAACATACTGACTGGGATATACTTAGGTTCTACGGCTGTCGGACTGTTGATAACTATAGCCTTTCTAAAACCAGTGAAATCGTCAATGAGCGACAGTGGAGTGACACTTAAGGTCCGTCTCCTTTCCACTGTCCGTTTACTGTTTACCAATCTGAACATGTTTATGCTGGTACCCTTCAGTTTGTATACTGGCATGGAACAAGTTGTGATGTATGCAGAATTTACAAATGTTAGTAAAGTTTTTTTTAGGGGTTCGGTAGATTGGTGTCATTTAACTAAAAAAAACAAATTAAATATCAAAATAAGAACATGTGATATAATTGCACATGAGACAACTCTCCACCAGAGACCAAATGACATAGAAGTTAACAGCTATAGGTCACCATACGGCCTTCAACAACGAGCAAAAACCCATACCGCATAGTAAGTTGTAAATGGCCCCGAAATGACAAATGTAAAACAATTCAAACGATGATAACGGCAGTTTGCGAACCAAATACAAAAATCAATGTTCTCAGTGGGCTTGATGATTACCAGTAGTTGTTGGTTAGTCTGTAGTTGCTGTACATTAAGTAATGAATAACAGTATATATGTTAAATTTCTTTGCCTGTAACAGTCTGTTATTTATTGAAATTAAAGGGTCTGAATGTTGTTTAATGAATATATTGATTGATTAATTGATTGATTGTTGGTTGCTTAACGTCCAGTGGCAAAATAATAGAGAATAATGGGCTAAAAAATTAAAGGACAAAGACAAATGGGCCAAAAAATATTAATAGCGACAATTTGCCATAACAACTAAAGAATACAAAAATGAAGGACCTCCCCGATCTAAGCCCCCGTATTACCTCACACCTGTGATCACGAATGCACATAGGAGGCATTGCTGACATTATACAAGTAATTCAACTTATACCGTTCATATGGGTCGTTTTGAACTTGTAGCATGATTTGAGCTTTTGCTTGGTGTTAAAGTCCTCACTGTGACTTTAAGATGACGAACAGTCATAAGGGCGCTGTTTAAGTACGTGCCTAGATTTTTGCCATGCATTATTACACTAAAACTCTTTTTCTTAGCAAAATTATACCAACTTCACCTGCACATGGGATATACACTTCCCAACCCGTTCGGTATTCAAGAGGTTTCAGCTGCTACTCAGACTTTATAAAACGTCACCAGTGTCTGAGCAGAGAGTTGGTGAGCCAAGGTTATGCCAAAGAACGTCTCGTCCTTTTTCTAAAAAAGTTCATTGGAAGATACCAAGACCTTGTTGATAAATATTCCGTATCAACTTCATAAATAATACATGATGGTCTTGAAGTATAGATTCTAGGTACTGACGTTGTTTATCATCTTGATTATGTGTTATAGCGGTCTTTTTATTTGTCCTTGTATATTTTTAATCTTTACTGTTTAGTCCATTTTTGGTAATATATTTTGGCGTGGTTCGGTGCATCCCGCTATTGTGTTATTGTGCTATTGTCAATTTTGTATTCTTGTCTTTCATGTTTGCTTATGTACTTTGTCTATCGTGTGTCTTTATGCCAATATGTTTTTCTAGTGATTAAGATTATATTACAATGTTGACTGCTGTACCCCAATTTTTGACATATACCTATTATGTCTGTTTGTTTTGCTCGCACATTGTTGTCAATATAATGGAATTCTATGCGACTGTCATACAAGTGAGAGGTTTAGCTAGCCATAAAACCAGGTTTAATCCACCATCTGTCAGCTGCCCTGGACTGCTTAGGGTTTATGTATTCCAGGTGATTTAAAATAAAAGATATTACTCACAAAAAAAAATCAACCATTTTCTATATAAGGAAATGCCTGTACCAAGTGAGGAATATGACAGTTGTTTTCCATTCGTTTGATGTATTTGAACTTTTGATTTTGCCATTTGATAAGGGACTTTCCGTTTTGAATTTTCCTTGGAGTTCGGTATTTATTTTATTTCACTATACTCTTAATTACAAAATGTCTTATCAGGTAGCGAATTATAACGAATCTAAATTTTACCGGGTTTATAACAGATTGTTTAAGCTAGAAACCATACTAATCTAAAATAGTACATGAATATATGTCGTAGTGCAGCGAGAAAATAGACAAGAAAATCATTTTCCTAAAATAAAATGCCATTACGTTACAGTATAGAGAAAATGTTTTTGTCTTCCAAATTTTTTATCCCAGAATATCTAGGACCCATGTTCCATCGTTCTGCATTGATCATACATAAAATGTAATTGTTTATTTATTTACATGGTGTAATTTATTTTTCTGTTGAATTTTACACAATGATAGTTTTTTTTTTTTAATTTTCGGAACATAAATGTGGTTATTGTCTTAGATGCATATTTTTTTTTTTAGTTGTTATTGGCTTTGGACTAGCTGTCAGTAACTGCGAGTACTCTCAGATCTGTAAATAGTGTATTTTTTAGTGTGGGGATGTATTAATACCCTGCCATGTCCGGTTTGTGTTTTTGTTGGATGATTTTTTCTGCTTTGTATCGATCTGATGAGTTAAGCCCTTTTCAACTGATTTTTATGGTTTGTTCTTATGTTGTTTTGTTACACCACTGCCCCAGGTTAGGGGGAGGGTTTGGTGCAAGCAAACTAGTTTAACCCTGCCACATTCTCTATGTGCCAATCTCAAGTCAGGACCCTGTAATTCAGTGGTTGTCGTTTGTTGCTGTATATCATATTTGTTTTTCGTTCATTGTTCTGTACATAAATCAGGCTGTTAGTTTTCTCGTTTGAATTGTTTGATATTTGTCATTTTGGGGCCTTTTATAGCTGACTATGCGGTATGGGTTTTGCTCCTTGTTGAAGGCCGTACGGTGACTTATAGTTGTTTACGGTGACTCATAGTTGTTAACTTCTATGTCATTTGGTCCCTGGTGGAGAGTTGTCTCATTGGCAATCATACCACATCTTCTTATTCTTATATGGTGGAGGTTTATGATTATGTATGCCTAAAAACGTAAAAATTAATTAATTACTTAATATAGACAATTTCATTGAAAAAGTACGAGATTAAATATTGGTATAAAACTCTTATACAAGATTAAATACCAGATGTTTAATTGTGATTTTCCCTTTTTGCTTATTGAATACATTGAAAGGAACTTACCAGATATAATAGTTACGCTTTTCGCCCAATGTTTTTTATGAACTACTTAAAAAAGTTGTAAATAAACACATCTTTTGTTTGGTTTCAATAGCAAAAACCGGCTTGTTCTTTTGTTGTTGATTTTTGTGATAGATTAGCGGTAAGATATATAAGTTAAATATCCAATACATTGCCAATTTATTTTAGGAACTTTTTCATGTTGGGGTGTACCTGAGAAGGAGGGAAACACTGTTGAACGTATATTTATATATTTATATATGTGTGTAGTTCATGATGTTCAAACTGCCTTTTCTTTTCTTTGTATGTATACTAGACTATTGTTTCATTTTGTTATTGTCTTATTAATGTCTTATATTGTACTATGCTCCTTGTGAGCCCATTTGATGGAAATAAAACATCTTCTTCTTCTTATATGTTTTGTACGTCATTTTTTCAGTCATTCGTTGCCTGTAAGCTCGGTATAGAATGGATTGGTTATACCATGATCTGCTTCGGGGTCTGTGATACGGTTGGCTCATTATTGGTAGGATTCATCGGGAAATTTACTGGACGGCCGCCATTATTCATCATTGCTACTATTTTGAACCTTGGAGTTCTTGGTATTATGAGATTTTGGTCCTTCAAAGAAGAAGTACCTTTTTATCTATTCTTTGTTATACCAGGTGTATGGGGATTAGCAGATGGAATCTGGCAAACGCAAAGTGGAGGTATGTTAAAAGTAATTTCATGTACATGAGGGTCTGGATTGGGTTTACAGAATAGAGAATAATGGGCAAAAAAATGCATAAAAAATAAAGAATAGGGAAAAATAGGCAAAACAAATAAAGAATAAAGAATAATTGGGTACTAAATTATAAAGAATAGAGAATAATGGACAAAATAACCAAAGAGACAAATGGATTAAAAAATTAAAGAATACATAAATGAAGGATCCCCCATCCAGACCCATATACATGTTGTTCCGCGAGCGGATTTGTGTTTAGAAGAGAAAGGGATGGGACGTACAGCAAATGGCGTTTGACACTAAATAAAAAAGAAATTAACAACGTAGTTTTCATGAAAACTAAACAGTTCTCGATGACATAACGCATGTAACATTCCCGCAAACATTCCTTAATCAATCAAATGTATATATACATAAAAAAAAACTAAGAAAACCTAAATGATTTGTATATGATAAAAGTTATAACTAAGTCCTAACTTTGTTTTCTATGTCAAAGGCTGTCAATTCTAAATGGATTCTAAATCTATAATTAATCTAGATTTACAGTTTGGTTTCATTTTTAATATTAAAGTAATTATTGTTCTTAATTACATTTATCTACCAAACTACACTGAAATCCGTAAAGAATGTTTTTTATTTTCAACCAAATAATGATTTTTGGACGTATAACCAAGGATTTTATAGTAGGACTATTAAAATCCTTTGTCTAACTAAAAATTCAAATGTTCCCTTAAAAATCCACAAATCTTAAAACAATATACGCTTATCTACTAGATAGTTACTCATTTGGCTGAAACCAATTGTCAAGAGATCTCTCTAGATACAATTTTAACGACATGAATGAAACATACAAGTAATCAATCTTTTTTTAAATTAAAAACCGATTTTTTTAAATTATATTTTTTTAATTTGATTTTATCTCGACGCGAAGCTCCGAAAACATGAAGGTCAAAACACGTAAACGCGAAAAGGAGAAAACGTTCATTTCGAATAGATTACTTCCAATAACATGAATACGCAAAATCGCAGAATGTGAAAGCGAAAACTCGAAGCTAAAACAATTCTGCTGTTTTGCGGCTTCGCCTTCGGGTTTTCGCTCTAGTATCGAAAACGCAAAATGGCTGCAACCGGCCACCATATAAATGCACAAACTGCTGTCAGTGAAGGAATTTCTTTTTAAATACACAAATAAATGTTTGTTGTATGCCGGACAATATATAACAGTCAATGACACCAACATTCAGTGTTTGCATTAATTCGCACAACCCTATGAGTACATTGCACGTGTATACTATGCATCCAGGAGCTTGGGAAATCGATCATGCATAACAGGAAAAAAAGAAAGTTCCTAAAAGTACATAACATAAAGCTACAAAATGTAATTACGCATTGACTACAATATCAGCTGGTTTTTTTCAGCATTGGTAGGATCTGCCTTTACAGAAGACCAGGAACCAGCGTTTGCCAACCTAAGACTGTTCCAGGCTCTGGGGTTCACTGTGGGATATTTATATAATGTACATCTATGTGAATACATCAAACTGTATATAGCAGCAGGGACTTTAGTTGTGTCCATGGTATTTGTGGCAATAGTAGAAATTAGGATCCGCCTAAAGAACAAACCAGATGAAAGGATAATTTAAATTGCCAAATTTTTCAATTCACGTATTTTTTTTTTCATAATTCACTTTTTTACCAATTAAAAGAAATGTGCAGTATAAAAAACAACCTATCACCAATGACTTTTGTTATGCGTTTGTTATTTATCTTTTTTTTTCCATATTCCCTGTAGAATTAATTTTTATTACTTCCTAAAAAGGAAAAGGACCCTTTTCGACATTAAATTGAGAAAATCAAACAGTACCATCAAATATCAATCTATATATCATATACATGTACATGTAGAACCAGTTGACGTTAATCCCTATAAAAAAACAACATGCAGCGGCAATTATTAGCGGTGTAATATTGCCACTCTTTGTACGCTGGAAGCTGGTTTCGCTCAATCAACTGGAATTTAGGTAAAACAAATATCTCTAATGCATGTGCTTGTATCAGGCTGTCCTTTATTGGATATTCTTTCTTCCGTCTGACCAAAATATTACAATCTATTGATTGACAACATATTTGTTACGTTTGGAGGACGTGTTTTTCAACAAACAATCGGCATTCCCATGGGAACCAACTGTGCTCCTCTTCTTACCGACTTGTTCCTTTATTTATATGATGCTGACTTCATACAGGAACTTCTTAGGAAGAACGAAATGAAGTTAGCAGTATCCTTTAACTTCCATTTCCGCTATATAGATGATGTTCTCTCACTAAATGATTCAATATTTGGTAACTATGTTGGACGCATCTATCCCATCGAATATAAGATAAAGGCTACAACAGATACAGTCAAGTCTGTCTCATATCTTGACTTACATCTAGAAATTGACAATGAGGGTCAGTTGAAAACAAAACTTTACGACAAAAGAGATAATTCCATCTTCCCAATTGTGAACTTTCTATTTCTATGTAGCAACATTCAAGCAGCGCCTGCATGCGGAGTATATTTCTCCCAAGTTGATACGATATTCCAGGGCTTGTATTTCCTATCAAGACTTCCTTGATAGAGGATTGCTGCTCACAAGGAAGCTATTAAACCAAGAGTTCCAAGTGGTGAAGTTGAAATCCCAGTTTTTGTGGGGTACGTTCGTGTTGCTCAGTCTCTAGTTTTCTATGTTGCGTTTTGTGAACTGTTGTTTGTCTGATTGTCTGTTTCTTTTAAAGCCATGGCTTTGTCAGTTTATTTTCGACTTATGAGTTTGAATGTTCCTTTGGTATCATTCGGCTGTTTTTTTCAAAAGAAATGCCCAATAATTAATCAAGCAAATTTTTAAAAAGTAAGAAGATACCGAGAGACCGTTACGAAAACCCCATGTCGAAGAAAGACAGACGACATCATAGTCAAACGAAAAAGTCAAACATTATCCACTAAACACTACAGGGGTACTAAATAATTTTGTATCACGAACCGCTCCAAACACCGGCGTAACTCACATGCTCCGATAAGCACCGGCGTAACTCACATGCTCCGATAAGCACCGGAGGCCCTTGTCATTCTATGCATGACAAAAATCTGATGATAAATCTGCGTCGTTAAATATAAATCATAAAATCGTAAAACATCCAAAAGCCAACGTCAACTTATAATTAAGAAGTCACGGTTTAGCAGTTTCATTGTCATTAATCCACTATAATTTAAAAAAACATGAACAATGTATATACCATCTCCAATGTGAACATCCTATACTCATGAATGGATCCTATAATCAGTCTTGGGGTACACATATAAACTGGATCTAGTGTCTTTATCTTAGGCGTAGGAACATCCTTTCAAGGAGCGTCCGTTTGGATGTTCGGGTTGTATAAATGCGCAGCCACGTCCGGTACGAACGGGTCGTTAAATTGAACCGACTCGTGTATGAGATTGACCACGTTCTCTGTACATTACGAACTCTTGCAACAACTCTTTGAGATGTCTATAGGGGTCTGTTGTAACGTAATGTTTCTGTCCCTATCCAACATATCTTAATTTTTTTATCTGGAAGTTCAAATTGTCTATGCATACGCTATCGACGCACTTTCCAGAACCTATTTTTACATTTATTGCATTTTTTCCAACTGAAAATTCATGATAAGCGAACAACTTCAATCAATCTATTCGTCATTTTAATTTATATTTGACTGAGTTCATAATCTTTTCCGAATTTGTAACAAATTTTCAACAACTTTTCATGATTAAATACCATATTAATTATTTTATTCTAATACACATATATGTAACAGCCACATTGTTCCGTCAGTTACTTTGTTCCGGCGGAACTTTTCAACTAGTTATTTCGTTCCGATGGAACTTTCCAACTAGTTGTTTTATTCCGAGTGCAGTCGAAAAGTTCCGGAAAAAGTAGCTAGTTGAAAAGTACCGGAACAATGTAGCTAGTTGAATAGTTCTGGCGGAACAGAACAACTAGTTACATCGTTCCGAATATACCATATTTCGTCCTTTTTGTAGAAAGTGGGGGAAGAATGAGTATCAGTATATATAAGAGCAAATCATTAATTTACAAGAATACCCAACGCACTGAAAGGGGTTTCTTTGGGGACAAATATGCAAAATTTAAGTTGTATTTCATAGCTCACATAAAACGGAATAAGTTGCATTATCATGCAAATTTAGTATTCATAGTACCCTCAAGAGAGGGAAGAATACCCACTCCTCATGTGGTTCCATGCATCAATTCTCAAAATGGAACTTTGTGACTGGTTGATAAGTTCCGTTGGAACTTTTGGGCTAGTTTGTTAGTTCCGGTTTTGACTTATTTGCCAAAGAGGAACTTTGTGGCTAGTTGATAAGTTCCTGATTTGACTTTTGTAATCAATATCTTGGTTTCCCTTTGAAAGGTTCAAATATAATATGTTGCGCTTTTACTTTGCATCAATTCTCCAAATGGAACTTTCTGCCTGGTTGATAAGTTCCGTTGGAACTTTTGGGCTAGTTTGTTCGTTCCGGTTTTGACTAATTTGGCAAAAAGGAACTTTCTAACTAGTTGATATGTTCCGTTGGAACTTTTCAACTAGTCACTTTGTTCCGGTGGAACTTTTAAACCAGAGGAAGAACAAAGTAACTAGTTAATAAGTTCCTCCGGAACTTTTCGACTAGTTAGTTCTTTCCGCCCGGATCTTTCCAACGTCGGAACAAAAGAGCATTTACATATATACGTGTAATATTCTACACAATGATAGTTCTAACTATTCAGGCGCGGATCCATGGATTTTGCAAATGTTGTTTTTTTTTCGTTGGATAATTTAACAGCTTTTCCTATTCATCATAATTCATGATTAATATATATACAAACAGGTAGAGATTTTCTGTTGATACGGAAACACTTAGATCTTGGGGATTAAAAAGGTTGTCGGCCATTCTGCTAGTATTCGTTGGAATTTCACCTTGACCATCATGATAACATTTGAATTGATATTTACTTAATTAGCATGGTTGACCATTATAAAACATTGATACATGGACATTCTCATTTTGAAATTGAATTTGTATTTGTATTGCGTACATTTTGATATGGATATTCTTTAAAAAAAAAAGAAAAGTAAAACAATTATAGAAAGAATTATAATTTGCTTTTACTTTTGTAAAAAGGAGTTATAAGACTTGAATAACAACGAAGAAGACATGTCCAGTATATGTGTACATAATAATTATCCGGTAACGATAACAAGATTTCAGTAATCTTTAAGGTGTTCTGAAGCTGGCGGCGGTCAGTAGTTTACACCAGTACATCAAAGGTAACATTTAATTTAATGTTGATTAACAAAACTATTGATAACAGAAAGTGCAATTCGAAAAAGTACATTTAGTTAAAGTACTTTTATATACCGTGACTCTTACGACCATCAAAGTTAATAATGGATGTTATCATCGAAAAACAAAATTTAAACAAAGAAAACTTACGGAAGGAAAAAAGGAAGCTCTTATTCAATTTTGTGACAATATGCTTTATATGGCTGTTTGTTTTTACCGCATATTCAGGACTGCAAAACTTAGAGGCGGCAGTAAATGCTGAGACTGGGCTTTATTCGTTGGCGGCAGTGACTTCCGGTGGAGTCATTTCCTGTCTAGTAGCTCCGACAGTCATAAGTTATATTGGATCTAAAGGAGCGCTTATTGTTGCATGTATTTGTCAGTGTATTTTCGTAGCAGCAAACTACTATCCAAAACCGTATATTTTGATAACAGGTGGCGCCATTGTTGGTTTATCTTCAGGACTATTATGGACGGCGCAATCATGCTATGTGACGATGATCGCATTAGACTATCACAAAATAACTGGAGAATCGTTAGAAGCTATACTTAGTCGATTGTTTGGAATATTTTTCATGGCTTTTCAAAGCACACAAGTTTGGGGCAATCTAATATCGTCAGCAGTGTTCCAGCTAGGCGGCGCATCGACGGAACAGGCTAACAACACTTTTTGTGGTGCTCAATATTGCCCCTCAGATCAGACGATCAGTAACGGAAATGAGACTTCAGAAGCAGCCATTAGACCGGATCGCCATTTAGAAATTACTCTAATTAGCATATATTTAGGGATTACATTTATTGGTTTACTTCTGACAGTTTTTGTTCTTAAACCAATCAAATCTTCCATGAGTGACAAATATTTTACTTTAAAGGAACGATTAGCTGCTAATTTGAAATTACTTTTTACCGATCTAAATATGGCCATGATAATTCCGTTCGCACTTTATACCGGCATGGAGCAGGTTATGATGTTTGCTCAGTTTACAACAGTAAGTATATACTGAAGAAAAAAGTAGCGGAAATAAATTTTCACATATTTATTTGACGAGTGAAATTTGAATTTTATGGCTTATTTTCTTTGTTACCATGATTCATTTATCGTTATGTTTAGAAGTATTATGGTTTATTTGTATGTCCCCGCCGTTAAGTGTTACCCTTATCAGTCCGTACGTACGTACCAAAAATAGTTTCCATTCTCTAACTTTAGTTTGCCTCAACAAATGGAAGTTTTTAACGACCTTGACTGGCTATACAGCCCTTGCACGGTCGGCACCTAAACCAAATGTTATGAAACTTATATCCAATGATTATTCCCATAAAACACAGATCAAGATTTAAGTGGCGTCACTTTTACAGTTCTCTAGTTATGTCCCTTTATAACGTTATATGCAATCGGGGGCATCACCTGTGTGCCATGGACACATTCTCCATTTATTTAGATATATAATTAAAAGTATGTGTCGCTAAACGTTTTGTACTCAGTATTACCTGATGTACATTAGGCTTAGAATTATGATATAATGTCGTTAAATTGATTGACTGAGATTTCTTAATGTTCGGTAGCAAATGTGTCTCTCATTTTAGGACGATCTATGACAGTTTAAACAATAAATCTTCGAGGTAGGATCTGCAAAGTGGTTGAGCGAATATAAAGCGTTAAATTTGGAAATTCACTGGAAAAGGTTTTTTTAATAGGATAGAAATGTAACCTGTCATAAAGTTACTTCCGAACCGCTGAAAGAGTTTTAATAAACAAAGAGTTTGCTTAACAGAGTACAAGTCTCTTTCAACATCGATCATCGATAATAGCGGTCCGATTCCGAACGGAGGCAGCTGCGTACATTTACATGTATATATAATACATATCCCATACTGGTCATAGAGCCAAACAGACACTTTCTTGGTCCGGTCATTACTGCCAAACGAGAGAAGCCGAGTTATATTGCAAAGCCCCTAAAAATAGAGAGATGTGGTCTGTTCGCCAATTATACAACTTTCTATCAAAGACCAAATGACGTAAAAGTTAGCAACTATGATTTCGTTACCACAATTACTTAAAACCTTTACTAAATTCTTCCATAGATACAAAGATTTGGTTTCCAAGTTTGGCTGTACCTGTAGAAAACTTATTTCAAACGGAATAGCACATCATACATTTTACGGTGATGTTGTTCAACACTGTAATTAAATCTTTGAATATTGTTTTTATTGGTATAAATATTGATTTAGTGATCAGTAAATTAAAACCATACTAAATATTACACATATGTACTTTCACGTTACTACAATCTGTCGATACCTATATTTTCGCATTGCACAAGGTCATGTTTTTCTCTGACTGTTAATGACGGCTTTAAACTAAATCCATTGGATGTTGGATTGTACTGATTGATATTTTAGTCTTAGATACATGATTTTTTATTAGTTGTTATTGGCTTTGAACTAGCTGTCAGTAACTGCGAGTACTCACAGATCTAAGTGTCTATTTTGTTGTTATGGATGAGGGGTGGATATATACCCTGCCACGTCCTGTCTGTGTTTTTCTTTGTATCGATCTGATGAGTTAAGCCTTTTTCAACTAATTTTTATAGTTTGTTCGTATGTTTTACTGTTCATGTCTGTCATATTTGTTTTTCGTAAATTGTTTTCTTATGAATTAGGCCGTTAGTCACAGTTTCTCAATTGAATTGTTTCGTATTTTTCATGTCGGGGCCTTTTATAGCTGACTATACGGTATGGGTTTTTCTCATTGTTGAAGGCCGTACGGTTGCCTATAATTGTTTACATCCTCTTCATTTGAACTTTGGTGGATAGTTGTCTCATTGGCAATCATACCACATCTCCTTATTTTATATGGGTCACCGTACGGCCTTAAACAATGGGGGGAATACATATTACATATCAAGCTATAAAAGACCCGACATGACAACTGTAAAATTAGGTATAGTTTTCTTCTGACTAAATACTTGTTATATTGCACAATTGACGACAATTGTAATCGACAGAAATTGGCCAGTCAAATGCTATGTGCATAGTACAAAGAGTTATCCTAATGTTGCACATACATGCATTTTGTTTATTTTTCAAGTCTTGAATTAGTTATTACTATTAAGTCGGATGAGAAATTCGATCTTTCGACGACAAAAGAGAATACACTTGATGGAGACAAAATGCTTTCCTTGCAACATATCACATATACGGACTCTTCGAAGAGTTTTTGCAAGGTTTCTTCAACTTGGAGATATCGCGACCCTCTCCAAACAAAGGGCATCTGAATTAACGTTCTCTTACCAACCATGTATAATTCCGTAATACGTCACCAAAATGGACACTTTCTCCTATGTATGGATATTAAAGCATGAAGGGGCAACTCAGTTTTATATTTCTGTATACTTGGGACGCCCTTCAAATTAGATCTTTATGGCAAAGAATAAAAGTATTTTTTACATTTTGAGTGTGATTGTGAAAATATGAAAACAATTGTATTAGAATAATTTTGAAACAATTGCTGGAATCCTTTGATTGATTAAGTAGATGACGTATTGCATTGTAAATTCTGAACCTGAGTGTGATGTTGCAAATATGGGGTATTTCATCCCGATCTACGAACTTTGCAGAATCCTCCGAAGTAATATTGTTTAATTTATTTTCTTCTCTTCCTGAAAAGCTTTAAAATTATTTATACTGGACATGAAGCAAACAACGGGAAAGCATTTAATAAAATACAAAATATTGCAACAGTTCTGTTGTTACCGTTTTTATTTTTTTTTACCTACATGTAACAATTAACAACATAAATCAAATCTTTCTTATTGGTTAATATGTCTATTCTTCTTTAGGTTATGTGACAGATTTTTGAAGGATTGTAAATTCATTGAACTATTTTCCATTCTTAAATATGATTAAATAAACATTTTGAAATATATGCAAATTAGAAAAGAATCCCACTGAAAATCATAAAAATGTGTACTACTATTCAAAATCACCTTTAAATTCTCAGACCTCCAAAACCAGTCTATATATGGTTGATAATGCTGTTGTGGCCAAATGAAGGACGACGAGGTACAATACGACCCATACCGAAATTGCAAAGATGGTAAAAATCCTCAATCCTTTCAAAAGTATAACCGTTCCCTCGTAACAGACATGATACTAGGAGAGAATATATGTTAGCCCAGCTCAGTGATAATATATGTAATCTCTTCACTTGCATTTGTATATTAAAAACGTTTGATAACAGAATAATAGCCATCTTACCTCAATATCTACCAGTACTGTTTTTAATAAATATGTTAATATTTAAGGTGTTTTATATAGATCTGATATTTTTTTCAGTCATTCGTTGCCTGTAAACTTGGTATAGAATGGATTGGTTATACAATGATTTGCTTTGGCGTTTGTGATACCGTTGGATCTCTACTAGTTGGAATAATAGCTAAATATACCGGAAGACTAGTATTGTTCTTTATCAGCGCTTCCCTTAATTTAGGTGTCCTGGTTTTTCTACGGGTATGGTCGTTAAGTGGCCAGGTTCCATTTGAACTTTTCTTTGTTATACCAGCCGTGTGGGGGCTAGCAGATGCAGTATGGCAAGCTCAGAGCGATGGTATGTTTACGAAAAAATAGTTATTTATGTTGTTTACTTGAATGTTTTGATTGTCCGGATAATGTCCATTGTCCGTCAACAATTGATAGTTTACTGCAAGATGACAAATTGCATTACATTAATTTATTGCTGAAACATACAAAAAAGTTAAAATATAGTGGTAGACATTGTAGCTATTAACATGCAGTACTAGTACAATCGCATGTTATACAGTATGAAGTGTTAGAATGGTCGTGGTAGGCAAAATCTGACATTAAAAAAATATTGTCCCTCTAATATAATGCATCCTAAGTTTTAATTATCGTAAAAAATGAAAGGCTTTTGCAAAAAAAAACCTTTAGAGTTTCTTAAAAAAAGGTTTTAAAGGATTGCACTGTATATGACGTTGTTGTACACTCACAAGTAATCCGCCGATATTAGATTAAAAACACTTTTTCAATGTCAGCGGACTAATTTATTTGGGCCTCGTTTTCAGTAACTGCGGGAAGTTTTTGATATCACGTGTGCATGTATTTTTTTTACCGGTATTACAAGGTGGCGTGCTTTTATGACCTTATGACCTTATTTGAAGTGTACTTTCTTCTATGTATCCTTTTATTTCATTGATGGAGATTAAAAATCTCAAAAATTAGTTTACCTCGCCACATAGTCACGTTCCTGTTCGAAGTCATGGAATTTGTCAGTGATTATTCATATCTTAGCGTCTTTTGTCTTTTAAGGAATTCAGAAATGATGGCAGATCTTTAGTAGCTACTCTTGAATTTATTCACAAATTTCTAGACGCGACGTAGAATAAATCATCAAAGATATCAGGTTTTTGTTTTTTTTACGCCAGATGCGTGTTTCGTCTACATACCACTCATCAGTGACGCTCGAACAAAAAAAATTAAAACATACGACTCATCAGTGACGCTCGTACCAACAAAATTAAAACATACGACTCATCAGTGACGCTCGAACCAAATAAATTCAAACATACGACTCATCAGTGACGCTCGAACCAACAAATTTAAAACATACGACTCATCAGTAACGCTCGAACCAATAAAATTAAAAGGCCAATAAAAAAATAAAGAACGAAATTGGAGAGCATTAGGGGCCAAACATTCCGAAAGGTAGAACTTGACAAATTTGTGATCGCACATGTTGATCTCTAGATTTGATTTCGCCTGTCGTTGGATTGTTGTTTCATTATCTTACATTGTAAATTCGACATCCCCCTTTATTTATACTTTTGATAGTTTGCTAAAAAAGAATATAAATAAACAAATGACAGTCACATATAACGTCTCTATTTTTATCATTCTTCAACGAGAATTTTAGAATACATTATTATGACTGAAATAATCAAGCTTGATTTATAAGTTTTCTGCTACATGTTTCTTGTTACGGAAAACCATAAGCGGTGGAATATAGTTTGTACTTGGTTTGAGTGGTAAGAAATGTTTTGTGTTCAACTAAAACCTTTCGAAAGGCAAGTAAAAATTGTTCATTAATTCCTCAAAATTTAAGATATTCACAAAAATTTTAAAATATTGCCTTTGGATTTTATTCTTAGCAACATTACCATCACTGATAAAACTCCGACACTAAGACCCCGTTCACACTAGGACATTTAGATCGATTTAAACTAGATCGGTTCACTTTAGATCGATTTAAGGGCCAATGTGAACGCGTTGAATCGATCTTCAATCGATCTAAACTAAAACACCAAAAGAGGTAGTTTAGTTTGAATCGATCTAAAGTGAACCGATCTTACTTTAAATGTGAACGCAGAGATCGGTTTAAACTAGTACGATTGAATCGAAAATAATGTATGCGCATGTATAGCGGCACAACTATATCAATGGTTAATTGTTTAACTCATATTTCTCTGTTAACAGACCTTTGTATACATGCACGTAAAAACAAATTGAAAACATGTTGTCTTCGCCGTAGCATAAATTTGCGAAATCTGTGTCTTCTTTTTTTAGTTGATTTTTTCTTTTCAGGAACCGCAGTATTTCGTCGTGTTGTAACTTCGTTGCTACAGTTTTTTGTTTCAAAATCAAAATTTGAACTTGTGATTCAAGAGAAACAATAACTTCATCCATTTTTTTTTCAAGTGTGTGTATCAGTGTATCAACACATCAATTTGTTAAATTAGTTCTATTTATACACAATGTTTACAGTTTTACGGGTAATAAGGTCAGATCAATTGCATTTTTAATTGTAATGTGAACGCACTGGTTCAGATTAGACCGATAGAGATCGTTATGATTAAAGATAATGTGAACGCTAACTGGTTTTATTTAGATCGATTAAAGAAAAATGCTAGTGTGATCGGGGTCTTACAGTCGCATTTCAAATGCGCTGTGATCCGAATGAAAAAAGTTCCAAAGTGTCAAAGTTAAATGAAGCATTGAATTTGTTTTTATTAAACCAAGGATTTGTATAATGCAAATTTTATTCAAAACATGGACTAATCATATATCTATCAGAAAATATACCTTCTATCACTCATCTCCGTTTTTTGAGAGAGGAGTATGAAATCGAAATTGAAGTTTGGACGGACCGCCCCGTAGGCGGGATAAGTTGAGGTCATTTAGGTAAAAATGCAAATTCATTCTAGGAACCGTGTGTTCGTACTGCAATGTAAAAGTTTATAATTTGTACCAGAACTACTTTAAAGTTCTTATATCATGCATAACATTTGATAAATATTGACTGTAATACTTACAACTATAACGTTTATTTTGATGTTTAGGCGATGGAAATATCCGCCATTAATACACGCACGCTAAGGATCATCGAAATGCACGATGGGTAATCACACAAAATTTCGCGCCGCACAACACATTATAATACAGTCTATGCAAAAGTCTACGAGATTCCAATCCTTTTAACTATACAAATCCATGATTAAACAACTGCCAGATATTCTAAATTGTTGTTTTATTTAAATTCAATGTACTGTTTGTTTATTTTTCAGCTTTGTTAGGATCAGTATTTCACCAGAATCCAGAAATAGCATTTTCTAATTATCTGATGTTCCAAGCTATGGGACTAGCAATAGCGTACATGTATAACATATACCTCTGTGAAGAAATGAAATTATACATTCTTGGAGTAACTGTCATTATTTCCTTGATATTTCTATGTATTATTGAATTCAGAGTTCGAAGGAGGAAACGAGAGGAGAAATGATAAGTGTATGAATCTGTAGTGTAATGGCATCCATTTTGTTGACGCGCTTTGTTGTTGTGACAATGAAAATAAGAAATACATGTAGAAAATAAATAATAAAAAAAAAGAAATAATATTTTTAGTACCGGGTCGCATCAGACAAGGTCTTATACTATATAGTCACACACATTTGTAAATATAAGCTTGTTTCGTGTGAAGTAAAGGCTTTCTTAACGTCTAACGTTATATTGGGGTGCATCTATTATGTGAGCGTATCCGTAAGTGAGACCGGAAAAAAAATTATGATAGTAGGTCATGAAAATGACAGTGAAGTGTTCAATCAAGTTAATAGTGAAGTATTGAATTGATATTTTAATGACGCAACAAAAGTGATTTAAATTAATTGACTGTTGTTCTGTCTTTATTATTCAATTGTTTTTGCATCAGATAAAAATATTATTTTAACTTTCGCATAACTTGTTATTGTATTTTAGATCAGATCCTGAGTTAGATACAGTTATCACTCATGCGTATCGTTATACAGGATAATGATATTACATAGAGAATAATACATGGCAAAATCCGTATCATATGCCGTATCATCCCGAGATACCAATATCAGCCCGAGGGCCTTTAGGGTTAAACGGCATGTGATACGGATTTTGCCATGTTTTATACGCTTTTTATCATATATTTAAACAGGAGAGTATATATGAACTGCTTTCTGATCCCTATAAATATTTCTTGAGAAGCTTGCATAAATTAAAACATGGACTTTATGTAAATTTACTACTGTCATAAATGAGAAATTCTTATATGACGTGCTTCTTTCGCTTTGTAAACAACACGGTGATAAAATTCTCGATATATCTATACTTAGCGCAGACTCAGAGATATACATAATAATGGATGTTACAATATACCTCCCTCGTAAATCCACATGTATTGGAACCTATTTGCAAACGTTATGCCGATTTTATTGTTTTAAAAACTGCAATTGAAAAAAGACTACAGAACTTTTATTCTTATTCGGATGCATAACAAAAAGAATTAATACACAAGAGCTCGGAGAAATCTACAAAATCAAAATAAAATAAAATTCCGCGAAAGTCCATTAATGCTTTTGGCGCATTTAAGTCATTTCAAAACATGACGTCATACAAATGAAAACGCTAAAGCTGAAGGTTTTTCCGTTACGTGAACCATCGAAATTCGTATAATATTACATTAAAATGAAATTTTGAAGTAGGTGTTGTTTTATTTTCTATTTTATTGCATTATTGTGATAAAAGGTGCGCATCAAAGTTGAGCGATACGGATTAAACAGCAGGCTATTTTTCAAATATTCAAAACTACTGTATTTACTACTAAATATATGATAAATATCTATACTACTAAAGGAAGAGACCGATTTCATTGAGCCGCAACTCCTCTGAAATGCAAAGTCGGAAAAACTTAAATACACAAATTTAGGAGTCCTTAGGGCAATGAACAGGAACTAACTCCGTCCGCTAACATCTGAGAAAACAAAAATGACGGCTTCATGTACTTGTTTGTATCATAATGTTCTGACAACAAATGGTATATAGTTCACTGGGTAATATCACCACCGGATATAGGTACCCCCGAAGCAAAAAAAACAATGATAGCAAAAAGTACCTATTAAAATCCCCGCACAGTAAACAACTATTCGCCGTACAATTTATCCGCTTTATTTCCAGAATTTCTCTGTGTAAAGAATAATTTATTTCGAAATACAGTGTTGTTTGAGCTAAAATATGATATACAAAAATAAATCAACAGTAGTATACCGCTGTTCGAAATTCATAAATCGATTGAGAAAAACAACAAATCCGGGTTACAAACTAAAACTGAGGGAAACACATCAAATATAAGAGGAGAACTACGACACAACAGAAACACAACATTAAAATGTAACACACACAGAAACGAACTATAATATAACAATGGCCATTTTCCTGACTTGGTACAGGGCATTTAAAGAAAAAAAATGGTGGGTTGAACCTGGTTTTGTATATAAGATATCGTAATTGGAGATGGAAAAGGCAATCAAGGCGACAGGGTGCCTGCTGATAATAAAATTCATTTGACAATTTCGATTTTGAACATTTTTGAATACCACCGTTTTGTTTTTTTTTTCAATATTCACGAAATACAAATTGTGGAAAATGCTTTGCGGGTGAAAAAAAATAATATTAACTGCGAATCGTTTATAATTATTTAAATGTAAATGTATGCTTTATTACAGAAATAATTCATGGAAGCCATAGATTATTTCGATTCTAATAGGACAAATGCGATAATTTAAAAAATGAAGCGAGGGTGGGTATGCCGTGTGTGCCGCGTGGCTGTTCTACCCCCCCCCCCCCCCCCCGTTAGATAAAGCTAAACATTTTCCAATAAATCCATAGCTTGCATGAATTATTTCTGAAATAACCGCTAGAAAAATTGTGTATAATTCTTTTAATTCTCAATCCCAACGTTTGCTATTTTTAATTTACTTTCTTTCTCGTAAGCTACCGTCAAATCCACAGTTGACATTTGGTAACTAAGGAGCCGCCATGTTGACTTAAATGCTGAAATCGGTAGATGTGCGAATAATGCAACAGAATAGAAAATAAAACAACACCTACCTCAAAACTCCATTTTAATGCAATATTGTCCGAATTCCGATGGTTGACGAAACGGAAAAACCTTCAGCTTTAGCGTTTTCATTTGTATGACGTCATGTTTTGAAATGACTTTAATACGCCAAAACCAAAAGCATTAATATTCTTTTGCGGAATTTTATTTGATTTTGATTTAAAGTTTGTACATTTCTCCGAGCTCTAATGCATTAATTCTTTTTGTTATGCATTAGAATAAGTATAAAGGTTCTGTAGTCTTTTTACAATTGCAATTTTTAACACAACAAAATCGGCCTGGCGTTTGCAAATAAGTTACGATACATATGGATTTACGTGGGAGGTATATTATAACAGCCATTATTATGTATATCTCTGGGTCTGCGTATAGATATATCGAGAATTTTATCACGGTGTTGTTTACAAAGCGAAAGAAGCACGTCATATTAGTATTATTCATTAAATACGTTTCACCAAATATCAATAAAAAACATCTTTATAGTTTCATTATAAATTGTACGAACTATGACTATAATGAACAAGAACCCTGTTATGCCCTTTGAACAGATGAGATATCCCTCCTAATACAATTTAATATAATTAAATATAATTTTATTTTATATTCAATATTCATCGTTGCAGATTTGAACAATGAAAAAAAAAGCCGCAGTGAAAAATTTTGAATTAGAACTTATTATGTAACAGTATTTATTTAACTAAAAATATGTATTGTTTCATTTATTCAAGATAACCGGAATTTAATTAACAATCTCGCTATAGTACGTTGTTTTTCTCAGACCACTTTTCAAAAAACCTGAGACCTAAGAATTTCTTAATTTAAAATGAATTTTCTTACATCAAAATATAGCTTATTGACAGGAGTATTCAAAAGTATGAGTTAAAAGTATTTCCTCCGCATATTAAGTGTGCTTCAATTTTTTTAGTTATTGCTGTCTCAATTATTTTGGGGTAATTCATTGATATTTACTGATGTGAGAAAGGGAATTTAGATAATGAAATTTTCAAAAAATCGGAGCCCTAAAAATGAAATCAAATAAACTGGAATTTTTTATACCAGCAGAAAGGTAAATCTATGTAGAATTCGCCGTATGAGTTAATAAGAATCAAACGATAAATAAAAATAATACGAAAGATTAATGAAGGGTACCCATATATTTTTTCCATTACTTTCTATTTTAATCGAACATAATTGAAAACATTGCACCCCGAGTGTCTCTGATAAGGGTAATCGCCATTCTTGGATATTCGGAATCCTCTGGTTTTATCCATGTAGTGCCAGTTAAAAAATTGCCCGCTAACATCTACTTTTCTTTTATTCATTTTATTACAAATTAAAAAGCAATATTTGAAAATCCTATAAAATCCTTGTCATTTTTTCATGGTTTCGACAAAATATGTGTCAATGTTAAATGTATGAAACATCTAGAGAGAATTATTTCCCGCCAAATTTTCAATGCCTTAAATCTCGAAAATAAGCACATGGATTGGACTCTTAATTTTTTCTGCTTTTTCAGTTTCTTTATTTATATACTATCAATTTATAACAGTCTTTTAAAAAGCTTGAAACAGAGTAGCGAACATCCTTAATATAAATTTCCCAATTAAAAGAGATCATCAGATTCTGTTTAAAACCAAAAGACATGAAGAGGGCAACATAAGTCTGTGTATACAATATGTCTATAAAATAAATCGTTCCGAGTCTATACAAGTTGTGACTAGTTGACTGTTATGGAATATCTGTTTCACAGATGACGACGGATATGTTCCCATTTTCGTAACAACAATCTCGTCCTCTTTTCTTCATATGTGACCTACCGAATTAGACTTATCACCGGGCTTGTACTTACATGAGCAGCTAGACGGGTGCTACATGTAGAACATGATCTGTTTACCCTTTCGGGATACTTGAGTTAACCCCTAGTTTTTGGTGAGGTTCGTGTTGCTCGGTCTTTAGTTTGCTATGTTGTGCTTTGTGTACTGTTGTAAAACTTTGTCTTTTCGCGTGTTTTTCTTTTTTTTTTTGCTATGGCATTGTCAGTTCATTTTCGACTTATGAGTTTGAATATCCATTTGGTATCTTTATCCTCTCTATTTTAATAAGTTTATTAAAAGATTTACCATTGTTGACAATACGATAGATGTTTTATGTGTGTATTTTCAGTCATTCGTTGCCTGTATGCTTGGTATAGAATGGATTGGTTATACAATGATCTGCTTTGGAGTCTGTGATACCGTTGGCTCATTACTAGTAGGATTCATCGGGAAATTTACTGGACGACCGACATTATTCATCATTGCTACGATTTTGAACCTTGAGTTCTTGGTATTATGAGATTTTGGTCCTTCAAAGAAGATTCTTTGGGATCTAAAACGTTTGTAAGTTGGTTTATCGGGACAATTAATGAAAGATATTGATCATAATTTTCCCAAACAGAGAGTATAAAATGACATGTCTGCTGAAAAAAATGATTCATAAAGAAGTTTACCGAAATACGTACAGGCAGAAACGAGTGATTTAGAAATTAAGCTCTTTCCAGGGGTTAAAAATCACCACGCACAAAAAGAAAATTGTAATCCTTAAAATACTATATTGGCATTTCATCTCTTCTATTTTTTTTCCTCCCCATTACAATGTATATGCAGAGCAATATTTTGAATGTGTGAAACTCCAAAGCAAAAAATAAAAAAACAATTTTCAACATAAAAAGCTAAAAAAAACAAGCTTTTTAGAAAAGCTATTACTTGTATTATTTACTGTCAAGAATTACATTAAACCCACCTTACGCAATCACACAACTACGGAAGCGTATTAGAGCTACACAACTTTTTTTTTAATATTTCTTCCTATGTTTGCGTTATAACGCAAACCTTTGCGTAATAACGCAAACCTTTGCGATATAACGCAAACCTTTGCGTTATAACGCAAACCTTTGCGAAATAACGCAAACCTTTTGCGTTATAACGCAAACCTTTGCGTTAAAACGCAAACATCTTGATTTCAAGTATTCATTAAGTTTTGTATATATGTCCGTCTGTCATTAATTTCGGTTGTGATCGATTTACTAGTAGATAGGAAAAGAACCATAAATACAAGGCCAACTCATTATAATAAATATGCATAGGAATAATGGAATACTTAAAGTGCAATTATACATAAATTAAGAATGATTTGTGCATCAGAAAAGTATATAATTTAACAAGAACATAGATATTGTATAGGCATATTTTAATTGAAAGAGCAAAACTAATGTCATACATTTGTGAAACTTTCAAGTCAAATAGACAAAATGATCTTTCTGCTTTAAAATGAATTATTAATGAAGAAACATTTGTTTTTTTTAAATTTTGATGCAAGATTTTTTTTAAATCTCAAAATATGATCAAGATTCTTTGATAGAAATTCATGGAATTTTTATTTCAATCTAGTGAAGTAACTTTAAGATACTTGGGTAACAATTTAAATGTAGAGAACATAATTTTAATAATAAAACATCTTCATTTTATTGCAAAAAGGTAGCTTGTTTGGATCTAACCAACCTTACACAATCCTCAAACGAGAGCTTACTTTGGAAGTATATTTATATTTGGCTATAACTATATTAGCAGGGTTGATTTTTTATATTCTTCAATACAACTTCAATTTACTCAATTTTCTTTGTAATATATATAAATGTATTATCATGTATATAATTTTTGGGGCCCTGTATAGCTTGCTGTTCGGTGTGAACCAAGGCTCCGTGTTGAAGACCGTACTTTGACCTATATCAAATGGTTTGATTTTAGAAAGTGTGACTTGGATGGAGAGTTGTCTCATTGCCATTCATACCACATCTTCTTATATCTATTATCCTACTCATTATTAGTCAATGATATGTTCTAAATATTCAAGCATTTTACTTTGTTATGAGTACAAAGGAGCTAGGATACATTTTAATGTATGCAGCCTCCTCCATTTATAACTGCTACTTCCTTTGAATCTTAAATAAGAAATAAGATAAAAAAAAATGTTTGCGTTATTTTGCAAATGTTTGCGTTATAACGCAAAGGTTTGCGTTATTTCGCAAAGGTTTGCGTTATAGTTAACGCAAAGTTTTGCGTTATATCGCAAATGTTTGCGTTATGATGCAAAGGTTTGCGTTATAACGCAAAGGTTTGCGTTATTTCGCAAATGTTTGCGTTATTTCGCAAAAGTTTGCGTTATATCGCAAAGATAGGAAGAAAATTATAAAAAAAAATTGTGTGGCGCTAATACGCTTCCGTACACAACACTTTTTACACCAATCAATTCATTACGAGGCTCTTGGCCTCAATTCTTTTGCACGTCTTAAAAAGGAGGGAATAGTATATAAACCTTTTGAAAATGTGTGGGATTAAGAAAACATTATTACTTTTGTTTACAAGTTAAACTCAAGGCTGGTTCTCTTCCTATCTGAGACAACCTTGTTGTCAGATCCAAATAGATAAAGGACAGAGCACAAAGTATAGTTAAACTCATGAAGTCAGTATTTTGTGAACCAAGAACAGAATTGTTACTAACACTTTGATTTTTTTTTTGTAATGGGAGAAGAAATTAAATTCACCATCTACATCCCCGATTTTTGGTGGTGTTCGTGTCGCTCGGTCTTTAATTTTCTATGTTGTGTTATGTATGTGTTGTCTTTTGATAGTTTTTCATTTTATTTTCATGGCGTTGTCAGTTTAATTTCAACTTATGAGTTAGGATGTCCCTTAGTTATCTTTCGCCTTCTTTTACATAACTATGATATTTTGCAATATATTTTCGAATTCTCGGTTAGTTTTCTATGTTGTGTTTTGTATACTGTTGTTTGTCTTTTGGTCTGTTTTTTGTTATGGCATTGTCAGTTTATTTTCGATGTATGAGTCTGGATGTCCCTTCGGTAACTGTCGCCTCTATTTTACACAACTAATTTGGAAATAAATGTCTCAAACTGACAAAATATATTCGAATTTATAGTTTTGAACCATCAAAAAGTGTCAAAACTTGATTAACAATTCAGAATATTACAAAATAATGTCAGAGCCGCAAGCAAGGTGAACACATGATCGATGTTATGATACTGTGAATTTTAGTAGACGTATATACATGTATCTGCTTACCTTTCCGGAGCACCTGATATCAACCCAGTTTTTGACGGGGTTCGTGTTGCTCAGTTTTTGATTTTGTTTTGCTATGGTGATACCTGCATGTTTGTCTTCGACTTATAAATTTCGAATGTAATATTGGTATCTTAGTAAGGACATATACTCTTCTATTGTATATCACATTAGACTTGTAGCTTTTGAAGTAAATACAATCAAAGGAAATGGTTCCCTATAAAATTAGGAATAGTCTATTATGATAAACAAACAGTTCTTGAAATATTATATCTATTTTGAAAACAATACTAGTCACGTTTTGTTTAACATAATAAGCATGATTCATTAACAAGAAAAAAATTGTTAATTTGTGGAAATAATTACTAAAGTAAAAGAGGGGTTTGATAGCTAACAACACCACGTTTCTGGCATATAATATGTCATGTTATGTATGATTCTAAGGTCAACTATGTAAACAAATGCAAAAATTGAAGCAATAGAGAAAATTAAGCATTTTATCTATGTAACAAACGTTATTTTTTGTATTTATGATGTTACTTTAGCAAATTGATAATTAAATAATTGCAATAAATGAAGTTGTAATTATATTAAATTCGTTATAAATAATAAACATGTTACATCCCTCGTTACTACTAGTAGTGCAGGAAAGACGTAAGCAATGCTCTTCCTTTCGCTGTTTTCTCTGTTGCTGTTTGCACGTGTAAGTACCTTGCATGACATACTTTAAACATCATTGACTTTAAATTTTACATCTGACAATGATGTTTTTCAAATGAAGGATCATACTATAAAAATTAGCATTGTGTTTCCGTTTTTATTTAAAACCTTAATAAGTAAGCATCTTTACAATATTTTTCAAATTTAATTCAAAGTGTTGCAATAATTGTATTGTTTATAGAAATAACCAAAATTTTGAATGCCAAAGGAAAATTAAAGTTTTCATTCAATTTTTATCTTGAGATGATGCACCTAATTTTATCTTTTAATTAGAATTTTCTTCTAAAAATACGAAAATAAGAATTCAGAGACGATATATTGTCACAAAATGTATTAGAAAATATGCATATTTACCTGCATAATTATGTAAATGTTCTCCTCGTGAACACTGCATGATTTCTAATGTTTAAGATATTGTGAAAAAATTTAATTGTAGTATTCGTTTAAAACCCTAATATAAAAATAAAGAGATGTTGTATGATTGTCAATGAGACAACTATCCACCAAAGTTCAAAAGAAGTTTGTTTGATATTATGAAAACTCTGGAATGTTCAATCCGGTTGTAGATCACGTACTAAATGTAATCTGTTCAGTGGTGGATCCAAGGGGTTGGGGATCGATGTTGAAACCACCCCTTTATTTTACGATCAATGCTTGTGAATTGGGACATATGGTTAGTTTAAACAATTTCTTATTTTTTCAAAAGTGCACAAAATTCAATTATACAATAGAAATACAGGGATTCGGAAACAAGAAGAATTTACAAATGTATATAAATCCGTCTCCCTTTAAAAAAAATGACAAAATTAGGAACATAGTGTAAGAAACTCGCATAACATAATTTTCAATTCACATTACATGTTTATTTTGTGGTTTGCCCGTTACTCAGAAGTCAGTTTGATCGAAAAATGTGATCAACTCATTTTTTATAATTGTGGTCTCACATGAAGCTGTGAAAATATGTAAATGTTTCAAAAATAAGGTTAAATTAAATTAAAGTTTCAAGTCTAAATCGACATCAAAAATAAATGTTTATGAACCAAATCTCCCTGTTTCCAAAATAAAACTTTGTACAACTTTAAAAATATTTTCGTTTTCCTCATCACTGATGAGTTCACTACCTGATAATAATGTTTGTATATTATATCTTGGTAGTGTGGAAATGGTTTGTGTCCTATTGAGTCTATAATTATGACATTCTAGCAGATAGTGTTTGCTGCTCTCAACTTGTCCACAAATACAGAGGCTTGAAAGAACAATATGTTTCTGTAAAAAGGTGTTCATTTAAGCCACTGCAGTTCAACCGGAGTCTGGCGTGAAGTATTTGGCCTTTTCTACAACCAGTATTATAAAATGTAGGGACTTTCTAAATATCACGATTTATATAATTTTTAAGTGTAATTTTTGATGGATTACATCTTACATCTTGTGGAAGGCTGTTCCATTCACGAATAACAGATGGTAGGAAGGAATTTTGATAAAAAGTAGCTCTACAGTTCATGTTTTGAACGTTAAATGCCCTTCTAGTATTATAGTTATAAACTTGATAAAGTTGTTGAGGTACGAGACTATATATACACAGATAATTAGGAGCTTGATCATGAAACATTTCGCAAAGTTTGAGAATTTTATGTCTGGATCTTCTTTCACTCAGAGATACCCAACCATTATTATTATAAAGTTTAGATTTAGAACAAAGTTTGGTGGAACCTGTGACTATACAAGCCGCTTCTATTTGGATGCTCTCTAGTTTGTCCTTTAAATAATTGGTATGTTATCCCACACAGTTTCCGCATATTAGAGAATAGGCCTGATGAAACTGGTATAAATAACTTGTAGATTATTACGCGATAACTTAAACTTTAAACTCCTCATAATATTTAAGTACGGCGTAGCTTTATCAATAATATAATTAACATGACTTTCCCAACAGCCGCTTTCTTGAAAAATTAACCCTAAATGTTTATGTTTTTCAACCTCTTGTATCAGCGTATCATTCATATATATTGCGTTGATTATGGGGTTTTGCTGTTTTTCTAGATATGGTCATGGTTTCAGTTTTTCTTGGATTAAAATTAACGAGCCATTGTTGAGACCACAAGTGAATTTTTTCTATATCAGAGTTCATTAATTCAGCCGTAGCATACTCGTTCTCAACAACTATATATAATAATGTATCGTCAGCGAAATGTCTGATGTTGCATGATATGTCACATACAATATCATTTATAAATAATAAAAATAATACAGGGCCTAATATTGAGCCCTGGGGGACACTTGCTTTAATTCTATAAACATCAGAGGTCTGTCCTCCTATGAAAACTCTTTGTCTTCTCTCAGATAAAAAACTTTTGAACCATTTCAGTAAGTCCCCTCTTATTCCATATTTTTCTTGTTTATGAAAGAGGCCGTCATGCCAGACCCGGTCGAACGCTTTACTGATATCACAAAACACAACTCTGATTTCCTTTCCAGAATCAAGGGCTTTAGCAATATCGTTGGTAATATAATGGTTGGAATCCCCCTTTACCCTGGAACCCACTTTTATAAATGGCTGGATCCATCCCTGCTGCTAAAGGTAGAAGTGGAGGGGTGGGGGTTGGCGGGTAAGGGGGTGGGGGTACTAAATCAAAATCCATAGATTTTTTTAATAATTTGATAAAATTCAGTTTTATATAAAAAAATATGGGTCACGTGGCTTTTATTCAAGCTACATCTTGGGTAAAATGTGGAAAACACAATTTCTTGGGATAGAAAGACAACTAAACCAAAGAGCTTTAAGATAAAATATGAGACAATAGCTCTTAGAAATTAAAACAAAATTATGATCACGGGACTCGTTTTCTTTTAACAAAACAAAATAGGTAACCAGTATACAAGTTACATTATCTGAGTTATCCCCCCTCATATGGCGGGAAAAATTGAATCAAATAACAGATATATTTTTTTTGTAAAAACAGTCGCAAGAATATGATAAAACATAATTTTCTTGGTTAAGTAGAAAAGTCTTACACAAGAATTGCATTCTTCTCTTAAGATCGCACATTACATTAAAGATATAGACCGATTGTTTGATTTGCATTGTTTTCTGCTATATAAATCCAAGATGGCAGAAGACACCCGAGCTTCCTTAAACGTATTGGCATAGTTTGCAAAACTTGCATTAAACTAAAATATATGCAGAAAATTAGTGTTGGGTTTTCTTTTATCAAACATATCAAATTGGTTTACACAAGTGGTCCGCACTTAAATCGCAAATTGTGTTTTGAACTTGATGTGTACTTAGGCATTGTTTTATCCGTTTTAAATTGTATCATATTTGTTGGTTAACTGGAGGTCTAAAGTTCGACAGTAGGTTCAAAATTAAGATAGCATCAATTTTGCTGTTCGTATGGATGACAGCCTAAATTTGCAAAATATTTTTGCCTCCATTTAGTTGTTTGTTAATATGTAAGACAGCCTCCATTTAGCTGTTTGATATGTAAGACAGCCTCTATGTGGCTGTTCGAATGAATTGTGGGCTCCATTTTGCTATTTGAGATGTGTCAATCGGTAGTCAACTGTAGACTAGTCAAAATGGAGACTTATTCTCACAATTCATGATCAGTATTTTATCTTGTCCGTATTTTTTTTTTTTTTTTTGAGAGCAAAGTAGTTTAACTTATTCTTTGTGTGCTTGTCAGATGCATGTTAATCAGTGGTTGACGTTGGTTCATGTCTGTCATATTTGTTTTTCGTAAACTTTATTGTATTATACATTAGTACGTTAGTTTTTCTCTTTGATTTGTTTCACATTTTTCATATCGGGGCCTTTAATAGCCGACTATACGCCATGGATTTTTCTCATTGTTGAAGGTCGTACGGTGAACCATTACTGCTTTTATCTTCGTCATGTAAACTCTGGTCGATATATTTCCCTGTTGCATTCATATAACATCTCCTTATTTTTAGATTAAAAAAAATCTCCAATAGCACGTTAACGACAGTTTAAAAATAAATGACACTTTTTGCCAATTATCAAAGTAAAGTTGACGACCAAATCTATGTCCTTATTCTATATATAATTTTTGCCTTTGCAGGTCACAGCTCGGTCTCGTAAGTATTTTTAAAACCTTTACTTTAAGAAAACATTTTTATAATAATGTTACTATCAGTGAGGGTCTAGATGGGGATCCTTTCATTTTTAAACTTTGGAATTTTTTTTTTATTATGCTCACAGCGCATTTGGAATGCAAAACACTTCACTGTAAGTTTCGGAGTTCTATGAGGGCCTGGATGGGAGTCCTTCAATTCTGTATTCTTTAATTTTCCAGGTTTTTTAATCTGTTTTCTATATATTGTTTGCCTATTAGTCTCTTTTCTCTATATTTTAGTACTCTTTTATTCTCTTATCTTTAATTTTTTACCTATTCTTCTATATTTTTAATGTTTTTAGCCATTTATTCTGGACATTTTGCCCATTATTCTCTATTCTTTAAACCCCATCCAGACCCTCATCAATATTGCACTTGAAACACAAGAAGGACATATTTTTAAAACAAAATACACAGTCTCAATAAATGTAGCTGCGGTGATACCAAATTTGTATAACTAAGAAAATGTTGAAGACCTAAACTTTTACGACTGCATAAAAGGTGTTACGATATTTCTCTGCTCTTGACAGTTAAAATTGTAAACTAAAAGCAAGAGGCTTGCCGAATCTGTTTCTCTATTAATGTTAAGATAATATTTACGCAAACTTTATCTTTCTTCCTCATTGATCTTCAAAGAAATGAATTCTTTCTATGTGACAAACACGGTCGCATAGATAAGTACTCACCTCCGAAAAACATAGTGGAGTGACCAAGTCAACAAATTTTCAACTTTAATGGACCACCATACCTGCAGGCTAAATTATGATTTTTCGTTTAGAGAAATGTTCAAACTTTAAATTTTGCCTGGTCGAAGAATTGAAAAATGGTGCAAATTTGTAAAATTTGAGGTAAAAATCAAATTTAGCTTGCAGTTATGCCGGTCCATTGAAGTCGTGAAATTAGCACCCTTTTCTTGGTTTGTCACTCCACTTACATGTATAACAATTAAAACGTCTTTTAGTAAAAATTCGTCTCTGAGATACCACTTATTAGATAAGATATCACAGACAGTATCACCATCTAGAAATATCCAGCGATTTCATGTTTTCTAGCACGATTAAAATTATAACAATGTGTATCATATCATGACAGTGCATCACATAATATAAGCCTATTTGGCTGGCTGAAAATCACTCATATATTTGAATATAATTGTTCGTTATAATTCAGGTTTCAATTTAATATTAATATATTCATTCATTCGTAATGACATTCATATAACGTAGAAATTATTTTAAACTGAGAAACATAAGTAACTTTTGTACATAAAATATCTATATATTTAAGCTCCAGCACCTCCGGGACCTCCGAGACCTCCGGCACCTCCACTCTATCAACGTAAGTCACAACCATTATACTACGTTATATGTCAGGGTAGGCAGAATCACGCACTACATAAAAACACATACAAATTGAAACTATGATCAGTGTGTAGTAAAATGACACATTATACTGATGTGTCAGGGTAAGCAGAAACACGCACTACATAAAAACACATACAAATTGAAACTATGATCAGTGTGTAGTAAAATGACACATTATACTGATGTGTCAGGTTAAGCAGAAACACGCACTACATAAAAACACATACAAATTGAAACTATGATCAGTGTGTAGTAAAATGACACATTATACTGATGTGTCAGGGTAGGCAGAATCACGCACTACATAAAAACACATACAAATTGAAACTATGATCAGTGTGTAGTAAAATGACACATTATACTGATGTGTCAGGTTAAGCAGAAACACGCACTACATAAAAACACATACAAATTGAAACTATGATCAGTGTGTAGTAAAATGACACATTATACTGATGTGTCAGGATAAGCAGAAACAAGCATTACAGAAAAGCACATACAATTAAAAAAACATGATCAGTGTGTAGTAAAATGACCCATTATACTGATGTGTCAGGATAAGCAGAAACAAGCATTACAGAAAAGCACATACAATTAAAAAAACATGATCAGTGTGTACTGTGTAGTAAAATGACACATTATACTGATGTGTCAGGGTAAGCAGAAACAATCACTACAGAAAGGCACATACAATTAGAAACCATGATCAGTGTATAGTAAAATGACACATTATACTGTCTGATGTGTCGATGTAAGCAGACACAAGCATTACAGAAAGGCACATTCAATTAGAAAATATTAGTGTACATGGATAGTAACATGACACATTACACTGATATGTCAGGGTAAGCAGAATCAAGCACTATAATAGAAAGACATTTACAAATAGAAACTATGATCATAACTAGTGTATAGTAAAATGACACATTACACTGACATGTCAAATAAGCAGAAACAAGCACTACAGAAAGACACATACAAATAGAAACCACGATCAGTGCATAGTAAAATAACACATTACACTGATATATCGTTTGTTTTGTACTACATAGGATCTACCTACAAAAATATACTGGTCGAAAATTTCAGATATACAGGTTGGTAATTTTTAGAAAAACCTGACTTAAAATTTCATTGTTTTAACTTATCAATTTCCAATTATTCGACAGAAGACATCCTGACGGGCAGACCTACTGAAAGCTGGATTATCCGACAGTAAACATCCTGACGGGCAGACCTACAGAAAGCAGGATTATCCAACAGTAGACATCCTGACGGGCAGACCTACAGAAAGCAGGATAACCCGAAAGTAGCCATCCTGACGGACAGATCTACAGAAAGCAGGATCATTCGCCAGTAGACATCCTGACGGGCAGACCTACAGAAAGCATGATCATTCGACAATAGACATCCTGACGGGCAGACCTACAGAAAGCAGGATCACCCAACAGAAGGTATCATGACCGACACTACATAAAGCAGGATCATTCGACAGTAGACATCTTGACGGGCAGACCTACAGAAAGCAGGATCATTCAACAGTAGACATCCTGACGGGCAGACCTACAGAAAGCAGGATCACCCAACAGTAGACATCCTGACGGACAGACCTACAGAAAGTAGGATCATTCGACAGTAGAAATCCTGACAGGCAGGCCTACAGAAAGCAGGATCATCCAACAGTAGACATCCTGACGGGCAGACCTACAGAAAGCAGGATCATTCGACAGTAGAAATCCTGACGGGCAGACCTACAGAAAGCAGGATCATTCGACAGTAGACATCCTGACGGGCAGACCTACAGAAAGCAGGATCATTCGACAGTAGACATCCTGACGGGCAGACCTACAGAAAGCAGGATCACCCAACAGTAGGTATCATGACCGACACTACATAAAGCAGGATCATTCGACAGTAGACATCCTGACGGGCAGACCTACAGAAAGCAGGATCATTCGACAGTAGACATCCTGACGGGCAGACCTACAGAAAGCAGGATCACCCAACAGTAGGTATCATGACCGACACTACACAAAGCAGGATCATTCAACTGTAAACATCCTGATAGGCAGACCTACAGAAAGCAGGATCATCCAACAGTAGACATCCTGACGGGCAGGCCTACAGAAAGCAGGATTATTCGACAGTAGACATCTTGACGAGCATGAGAAAATTCGACAAACAAATGAAATACCCGTAAAAAAAAACCAAACCATGCCGTTGCATTTCAATTTGACAGTTAAGGAGGCTCGGGTGTCTTACTTCATCTTGGATTTTGAAATAACAGATAACAATTGGTCTAGATCTTTAATGAAATGTGCAAATTTTGAGAGTAGTATGTAATTCATGTGTAAAACTTTTTATTGTAAATATAGAAAATTATGGGTTTTATCATATTTATAGCTGTAATTTCTAAAAGAAAAAAACACCATATTTGTGTTTAATTAAATTTTTTTCAACTTTGCCAAATAAGGGGAGATAACTCAGATACAGTTATTTTAATAGAAAGTGTTGTGAATTTACCTATTTTAATATGTAGCAAGAAAACAAGTTCGGTGACCCCATTTTTTTCTTTTTCTTATCTGAAAGCATGCTATAAGAGCTATCTTCTCACATTTTATCTTAAAATTCTATGATGTAGTTTTCTTTTTATCACACAAAAGTTGGATTTTCCATGCATAATCTATACAAAATCTGACAATTTTGCACAACCTGAAGCGTGAAAAAAAGTCCAATGATCCATACTTTTTATTTTATTTTTGAAAAAAGCATGATAAAAAATTCATTTAGACAAATTATCAAAAAATTCTATTGATTTTAATTAAGACGCCCCAGCCACCTAACAGTCCCTACCTGTGTAACATTAATTTTGGTCTACATCATATATACATTTTTGATATTAAACAGATTTTTTTTTCTTTGATTTTAGGATGCTTAAAGAAAACAGCGGATGTTTTCTTTGTTGTCGATACATCCAGTAGTTTGAAATGGGGTTATAATGTTATAAAAGAATTAGATTTTGTGGGTGATGTAATTAAAGCGTTTGATCTGGGTAAAGACCAGGTACGGACCGGAATAATGACATTTACTACCAATACGGAGATATTGTACCAACTAGATGACTTCAAAACAGAGAAAGAAATTGCCAACATTTTAGATGATAGAAAGAATTTTGAGAGAGATCAATGGAAAGGTGGCGATACTAATATTGGTAAAGCTTTAAGACTTTTAATAGACGAAGGACTATCCACGTCACATGGTAGCCGTACTGACGTTCCACAAATAGCCGTGATTATAACAGACGGAGACCCAAACGATAGGGCTGACTTTGCCAGTGCTCTCCTGGCACTAAGAAAAACGAATATTATTGTTTTTGCTGTAGGTATGTTATTATGTAAGATGTGAAAAGATTGTGTTTCATTGCTGAGGGTTTCATGTAATCGTGGAATGGATGGAGTGCTGGCTGTGCAGTGGCTATTTATAAGTTAAATACATATTCAGGTCATAGATATGTTGATGTGAGATGAATATGAACATTGTTTTGAACTAGACCTAGAAGCTGTACGGGATTTTTAACGTGCTAGTTAACAAGCTATGTTGACCTATCGCCATTCTCAGACACAATATTCTGATTCTAGGCTGACCAGTTTTTGCTCTTTAGGGGATGAACATCTGATATTCTGATGGAGGGGTTTGGGAGGGATTGTTCCGGATTTATCATTTGCTTTTATCTGCTTCAATACGCATGCTAATTATTTTCCTGCGGAATCAAACCCATGACTACGAGCGCAATGAAAAGTTTCAGTTCTTCAAGATAAAATATTTTGATACCCTTGTCCGTCTGTCCGCCAGTGTGTATGTCTACGTCTGTACGTCAAAAAAAAAGTTTCCGCACTCTTACTTTAGTTTGCCTCAACCAAATGTTATGAAACTCAAACATAATGCTTAAATTATCACAAAACACAGATTAAGTTTGAATTTGGGTGGCGTCACTTTTACCGTTCTAGAGTTATGTCCCTTTACAAATGGAAAAATTGAAACATTTTCCATTTTTTTTTTCATATAATATAGCAAATTACTTACATATATTCACGTTCCTAAAAAAAAACACACAAAAAAACACAAGACTAGCAAAGGCAAGAGATTCCTGACAAGGGACAGGCGCAAACATGTTTTGTAAGATCCCAACCCTCCCCATATACCTCTAGTAACTGTGGAATAAACTAACACACAGCAAAACGCACAGTAAAACTCAGTTTAAAAGAAGTCCGATGCCTGCTTTTAACCCACTGTCTCGTACGAATGAGATAGTTAGTTACATCATATCTAATTGTAGTATGTAACTTTTTTCAGTAATTATGATTTATTTTTTATTTCTTAAAGGTGTTGGTCCAAATCGTTATCCTGAGAACTTGCTAAAAATTGCAGGCGATCCGGAACGTTTATTTGAGTTGGAAGATTATGACAGTTTTGGAGCAATCAGAAAGGAATTGGTAGATAAAGTGTGCGATAAAGAACAAAGTAAACACCATTTGTTTATAAGATTACGTTTTTAAATGTTCTTAAAATTTTATAAAGATGTTGCTATTGCTTAACGTTTATTTTTTTTATCCAAATTTGAACGACTTTATGCATTATTAAGGTCTGGATAGGCGATCCTTGATTTCACATTTCTTTATAGTTTCAGTTATCTTTTTTAATACAGCACTTATAATAGTTATGTAAAATCTCATGGAAGTTATTCTTCTATCAAAATTTTCTATGATTAGATGATATTTATATTCTGTACATCGTTCATTTCTGTAACCAGTATTGCATCACATAATTCTTTTATTTTTCAAAGTTATTCTTTTTTACTTTTGCACCCCATTATTCTCTATTCGTTGACATTTTTGCTAAAATTTCTTTATTCATTATTTTATTTTTTGCAATTATTCTTTATTCTGTAAACCCCATCCAGTCCTTCTATTATTTTGCAAGAGAAAAATCATTTTTGAAATTTTGAAAACGCTCACAGGCCTTTAAAATGGGTTCTTGTAATTAGTTTTATCATGGAAGTATTATATTGACAGGAACTACAACGATTAATTAGCACTTATTTATAACCCGGGTAGCACTGTAGAAAAGATATGGAAACTGTCTTATTAGTACGCTGTCGTTAATTTCTTTTGTGACTATCTGCGATGCCGCTGTCATAAATTGACCAGAGATACTTCTTATCAATCCCAGACAGATTAACATCAATACCTGTCGGAAAACACCTTTGCTTATTTCAATCGCGTAGGTTGACATTTATTCATGAACAACTTATTTAAACAAATCGACTGATGCATAAAAAATGAAAATCGGCCCAGAATTAATTATTCTACAACGATTCAAAATAGTGATTGACATTATTTTATTTCTTCAGTGGTTAAGTTAAAACTGTCAAAAGGGTGTGTTCCGGTTACGGCCGGGTCACGAACATTTTCTTAATAAATATATACACTGTGACGACCCGATTAATATTTAATATCACAGAAATTATACATAACAAATATAGTTAAAAAAAAGACGCAACTCGTTATTTATAAAAAATATATATATATATATAAGTGGATTTAAATTTTCTGACATTTGTGAAATTCAAAACTGCTAAAATATTTTGTATTTGAACGAATTTTATCCGATAATAAGCAGCCGGTGTCAGTATTTCTATTTGTCATTTATGTATATGCCAATCTTGACTTATGATTTGACCCGTATTTATTAATTTGAGAAAAAAAACGAGACTTATAAAATGTTATGGAATAGCTAAAGCATCTCTGTCCCATAAATATTTTATCACTATATGTCCAAATGATACTAGTAAATATTATTGAACAGTTGCAGTACTTATAAAATCTCAACACATCGGGCTGAGCTGAAACATTCGTATACCAACCAATGATCTGGATTAAGAGCGAAGCTTGATAATTCCTACATTTATTTCAAATCTCTTTGATCTTTAATTTTTATCAGAATTAACAATCATTTTACAATCGTCTGAAATATGCATGAAATGTGTGCCACTGGAGTAAACAGTAATTATATAATCACAACTTGCGATATTACATATAGTGCAATTTCTTCCGAAAAATAAATCAATAAACATGGGGCATTTATTCAATAATTATGGTACAAATTTCCATCGTCAATGTGTTTTTCTATAGAATTAATGATGTCTCGCACAAATCCATCAATCTATCAATCGGCACACATATGCAGGTGTAGGGTAACGGAATCTGCCGAGGTTTGCCGATTGCTGTTTCCTAAGAATTTATCACAACTTTCGATTTCTTCGTTTATTTCCGTAATCGCGAAAGCAACCGAGAAAGACGATATTGTAGGGCACCACACGCTTGTGTGTAAATAATGTGCCATGTTTCAAGTTAATTAACATGTCATTAAATTGCGCGCGGCATCGCAGATGAAACGTTTGAAGTCGGGTCGTAGTAGTTCCTGTCAATATAATACTTCCATGATCTCACTGAATGTAAAATGCTTATGATGAATATCATTGAATGTATATTTTGAGGCCTGTCAACGTTAGCTAAAACAACAGTACGCTATATCACATTTTTTTTTGAAATCAGAGAACACAATATTGTTTAAATACAGTGAATAGAGCAACAGAATTGTTTTTTTTATATAATTGTAATTTTTCAAACCATAAGTTAGCGTAATCGAAAATTAAGGTGGTACCAAACACTTTGACTAAAATTAATTTGGCATGTTTGGCTCGTTTATTTTTTTTTTAAATTTTGACAAAATATTTACTTTGACCCTTTGAAAAAAAATAGAAAATCATCAAACTTGAATCACATTTCATTGGATTAATACAGTTTGATAAGCACTAATTTTGATCATTTAGTAGCTTGATATTTCCTTAACAATAGAACGTGATTAAAACGTTCTGCTGACTTTTACAGAATTATCTCCCTGCAGTTTTCTGTGCCACCCTGAAACAAGTATATAAGTTAAGTGATACCGGTAAATTGATAAATTTTAACTTTGATTTATATTTAAGTGCATTTGTGTTAATTTATGACTTTATTAATATCAATAGTAATGTATAAAATTTGTGATTTCAGACGATGAAGAAAAACCGAATCCATGTAAAAAAGAAAAACGTGAGATTTCATGATATTTATGTGTATTCATACATACATACACGCACACACACACATACACACACACACACACACCATGCATTATACAGTTTCTAGTGCATACAATGGGTTTCTAGTTTCTATAATGACCTTATTAATATGTATGCTTAGCCTAGGAACGGTTTGGATAAATAATAAATCCCTCTTTGATCAAGTCAAACAATATCCCAGAGGAAGTCTTTGTAGGATTTCGTTACATTTACAGCATCCAGATGTATTCATAATCAGCCCAAATTTTAGTTCTTCATTAAATGATACCATGATTCTGCCTGGGACTATTAAACTAAATATTTAAAGTACCAAATACTGCTAAAAAAGTTGTGAAAATAATCATCGTATAAATGTCTTTAATATATAACAATGAATTGGAGGCAACAACAGTTAAACGATATTCAATTCTCATAAATTGTTCTCGGGTGGGTGGGTGGGTGGGGGTGGGGGGGGGGGGGGGGGGGGGGCACTTCCTATATACAAGGTGATAGGACGTGCCGCTGGAATAGGTCACCTTTTCAAGCGTGAAAATATGTGTGTGAATAGGTCGGGAAAACTGTCAGAAATATATGATTAGGTCAATAAAGTTCTCATAACTTCTTCGTCTGTCATCTTTCTTAGGTGTTCCCGGCTGTTTTGATCAACCAATTTTTCTCTTTTGGCACTTTAGTATTCCACTCTTACATTACAGACCATTACACACCACATGTAACCCAAACAATATGGGAAAAGGTTACATTTTTACCTACGCAATATATGATAAGGTATACAGTTTACGTGTCTCCTGCTTTGCATACAGGAGATGAACCGCATATGGAATTTTCTGACCCCATATATATCATATTAGGTCACTAGCACACTGTGTAACGAATATAACTTACCGACTATCTCAACATTTGGTATTTAGACAAGTGGCCTATTAAAGTGATTAAGTCTTCAATACTTAGTATTAAGAAACTACTTCCATTGGTCTATACAAAACAAATGCCAACAATAACAACTTGTTAGCTTTAAATGTGTTTTATGAATTTATTTCGATCGTTCATTATCAATGTCTTCGTCTGTTGACAACACCGTGTTGAATGGGACGTAACAACGCTACTAACCGTATATTGAAAAAAAATAGCCCCGCCAACTTGCCCCATATACAATACACGCTGTCTCCATGCGGTTGCTTTTAACCAATCATATTCATTGAAATGTATTATGATATACATGTTTTATAGCATGTGATGGAGCAATGGCAGACGTCATTTTTGTAGCAGACAGCTCAAGAAGCCTTGGATTTAAAGCGTTTGATAAATTGAAACTGTTTGCCAAGGCTGTAGTGAAGAGATTTACTGTCAGTCCTAATGACATACAAGTTGGTTTCATAAATTTTGGAAATAGTTCCAAATTTGAATTTAAACTCAACAGTTACAGAGATCAAGATGAAGTAATGAAGGCTATTTCAAAGGTCCAATATTTAGACGACGGAAAGAGTATGCAGCTTACATTTACAGGCAAAGCACTACAAATGCTGAAACAGAAAGGATTCAAAAAAAGAAATGGCGGGCGTGGTGGAAAAGTTCCTAAAATTGCCATTATCATTACGGATGGTGAACCAACAGACATTGTTGCTACACACAGACTTGCAAAAGAAGCAAAACAACAAGGAATAATTATATTTGCCATTGGTATGTATAGTTCGGTAGAGTAATCCCATTGTAATATTAATTTCTGTGTATACCTTTACAACCTGAGTGGGAAAAAACTTTATAACGATTGTCGTAGCCACGGTGTTTCTGGACCGCCAAAAAATGTGACTATAGCAACAAAAAGATCTAACTAGAAATGGTACCTCGTATTCAATAATCTACTCACTGAAATTATAGATAGTTTACAAAGACGATAGAAGATAAATTCCAAATGTTGTGCACCATAAAATGATAATCGCTGGTTACAAATTTTAACATTAAACTGTACATAATCATTTTTTTAAACAGTGACAAAACATCTATAACCTACAATCTCATACGATACGGTTAGTTTTTTTTTTTCGAAATTTGATCATTTGTTTTTGCAACATATATTCTTTAGCTTAAAAAGGACAGATACCAAAGAATTAATATTGCGCATGCGTTCTTACAGGAATCCAGTTAATTATCCCTATTACAACACCTTAAAATATAAATAATAGATAAACAAATAAGTATGAAGAGCATAATTATAGCTTATTTTTCAGGTGCGGATCCAGCCATATTGAAAAGGGGATTCAACCCCCAGAACACCATGAAACGTTCACATATTAAAAAAAAAGATTATAGAACAATTAGAAAGATTTAAATCGAAAAGGGGGGAGGGGTTCCAACCCCCGGAATCGCCGCACCCAGGATTCGCCAATGTTTTTGTGTAAGATTTCAATCATATGATACATATACACCTTGTATGCTTATAATGTGCATACTAGTATTGTTCATTGTCTGTTACTAGTATAATATAAATGTGAACGTGTGTGTATTGTTCATTGTCTGTTACTAGTATAATATAAATGTGAACGTGTGTGTATTGTTCATTGTCTGTTACTAGTATAATATAAATGTGCACGTGTGTGTATTGTTGTAGGTGTTGGTGACCATATGAAAGAAGATGAGATAAACTTATTGGCATCTGACCCAAAGAATAAACATGCGTTCCTGGTAGAAAACTATGATTCTTTATCATTTATTGAAGCCGCATTAGCAAAGAAAACTTGCACAGGTACTACTGTACACATAAGACGAGTTTGTCAATATAATGGAACTATAAACAACTGTCATACAAGTGGGAGGTTTAGCTAGATATAAAACAAGGTTTAACCCATCATTTTTTTCGGAAAATGCCTGTAACAAGCCAGGAATATGGCAGTTATTTTTCGCTGGTTCCGTTGATTGATACCGTATGATTTTGTCAGTTTTAATGGACTTCCTCTTTTTGAATTTGCCTTGGAGTCCTTGCCTTTTGTTATACTTTTTGTTAATATGTAAACTGGCGATGAAAGGGAATAAACGGCAGAAAAATCATGTAAAATATCTAAACAGTGACAGAGCAATCTCATCAAAATATTAAGACGATAAATTCTGTTCAGAATAATTGCTACAGTGTGCTGTCAATTGAACTAGATACCATTTTTGGGGTGCACCATGCATATGACTTGTAATAAAGGAAACAGATAATATATTCATTCTCTTAAACACCCGAATCCGATAAACTTTAATGAGTATAAGATATGTATTCATAATTACAATGTAAAATATGTTTCATTAGAATCCGTATAATTTTGATTGGCTGACAACAATTGCGAGGCACTCCCACATCAAATTTTATTTTCGTATAAAATACAACAGCTATGACTGCACGTGCTTTCCGTGAAAATGTTGAAAAATGCATCGAAAAACAAACAAAACGCTTGAAATAACTCTTAATTTCATGGTTGTAGCATAAAAATGTAATTCTAAGAATTGAAAACTTCTTTTTACAATCTTATAGGGTCGTAAAAGCATTGATCGTGCACACATTTTTAATATATGAGCGCTCCGCTTCCGCGCTTATACAAAACGTGCTTGGGTCAACGCTTTTACACCCCAGTAAAATTATAAAAAGAAGCATTCAATTCTTCAATGATATTTTGTGTTTGTTTCAGCTGCTATTCAAGCGATATCGATGCCACCTGAAGGTTTTTACTAGAAATTGCAAGCAATAACTATAGGTATGATATAATAGGATTTTCAAATCAATATGTAACATGTAACATGCATACAACAAAAAATAACACTTTATAAAACTCGTGCGTTCGAAAATCTTCTCTGGAAAAACCTACAGCAGCGTAAACCCCAAATATTGGAAACCTATGGTGTCAATATAATACTTTCATGGGTGTATAAACCCTTAAAACGCGAGGAGTTTTATGATCAAACGGTACCTAAAATGAATAGCCATATTCATCAAAGGTCAAGGTCGCCTGAGGGAGTTTGAACCTTATTTTTTTAATGATTTCTAAATTAGATATGGAATATCTATAACTTAACGGAGTATTTTATAAAAAGTAAGTTATGAATCATATCAATACCGATGTACTGATTACTGATCTGATAAACACGGGTACTATCAGTCCACATGCAGCCGTACATTAGAATGGTGCTTAATGGATGCTTAAATACTATGAATTCTACAAAGGAGGAAATGATTTGATTTTCTTTCATGTATCTAGAATAAAACGTCCAATGTGCCATTCGATGTGGTTCTGCTTGATACGTTAATGTTTTGTTTTGCGATAAAACTCTCCCACTCTAAAAATAAATTACGGATTTGCCCCTTGAAACAGTTCTAATCCGATGTATTTCTGAGTAAATATAACTGTAGCATCGCAGCCATTTACAAAGTTTACGGACGATCAAGTATACCGTAGGAATCTTCAAAAACAGTTGAATACATGAAAAAAAAAAAACGTAATAATAAATGCACATACCTATGAAATACAACACGGAATTAAAAAAAAACTCCAAAAAAAACAAAACAGACAACAAAAATAATATGATAGATCTAATAGTAATCTCAACCGATTTATTCGCAAATTTCTAGAAATTCATGACAACTGTTTCCTTGAACTTTCCTACAAGTTCGTAACGATGCTGAGTACGTTATGTTACATTTCACAGATGACGATGGAAATGTTCTTTCCCCGAAAGTGACTTACCGAATAAGACGTTTTACCGAATTTGTTCTTACATGAGCAACACGACAGGTACCATATGTGGAGGATCTGCTTACCCTTCTGGAGCACCTGAGACCCCCGGTTTTTGGTGAAGTTCGTGTTGCTCAGTCTTTAGTTTTCAATATATGTTTTGTTATATATACTGTTGTTTGTCTTTTGGTCCTTTTCTTTTTATGCCATGGCGTTATCAGTTTATTTTCGACTTATGAGTCTGAATATCCCTTTGGTATTTTTCGTCTCGCTTTCACTGACGTAAGATTATTCTTGTAACTAAGATATATTTTTCAATTGAACGGAACACGTAAACAATTATGATAACATATATTGTTAAGTTGTGTTGTTGGATTTTTTGTTGCAAGGTATATTTAGATTGTTGTAACACACTTACTTGTTTTAAACTTAAATTCAAAATTTTATCAATTAAACAGCTTTTAATCTTTACACTAAATGCATTGGATGTTGGATGTGTACTTATTGATATTTTAGTCTTAGATACATGATTTTTTTCATTAGTTGTTATTGGCTTTGAACTAGCTGTCAGTAACTGCCAGTACTCTCAGATCTGTACTTAGTGTCTTTTTGTTTTTGGGATAAATTATATAAGTACCCGTACACGTCCACTCTGTGTTTTTGTTAGATGTATTTCTGTTTGTATCCATCTGATGAGTTAAGCTTTTTCAACTGATTTTATAGTTTGCTCTTATGTTGTACTGTTAGACCATTGTCCCAGGTTAGGGGGAGGGATAAGCGCTCACAAACATGTTTAACCACGCCACATTCTGTATGTGCCTGTCCCGATTCAGGAGCCTGTAGTTCAGTGGTGGTCGTTGGTTCATGTCTGTCATATATGTTTTTCGTAAATTGTTTTGTTATAAATTAGGCCGTTAGTTTTCTCTATTGAATTGTTTCATATTTTTCATGTCGGGGCCTTTTATAGCCGACCATACGGTACGGGTTTTTCTCATTGTTGAAGGCCGTACGGTTGCCTATAATTGCTTACATCCACTTCATTTGAACTTTGGTGGATAGTTGTCTCATTGGCAATCATACCACATCTCCTTATTTTTATATTGTCTCTATAGTTATACATTCTAGAATATTCACTGAGCTATATTTATTTTAACCATAATATACAATTACTGTCTTTTGTTTCGGTAAATATGTGGTATAATTGACTTTTGAAAATTGATATTCACCTCGGCCGTTGGCTTCGGTGAATATCAGTTTTTCAAAAGTCAATAAAACCAAATATTTACTTCATCAAGACAGTAATTGTATATAATTATTCTTGTAGTTACCTTAGACGACAACTTTAAATAAACTCATTTAAAATATAAATGTAAAATTGTGTAATACATGTCATTTTAAACACACATACGTACACACCCAAACACATTATGTTATTACGTGCATATCATTGGATGATATTCTGCAACATTCACTTAATATTATAGAGATTTATGATACTGATATTTAGTAACTAACCTAAGTAAACTGACTATTTTTTTTTTGCTTTTTCAGATCTGATGAAAACTGAACTGTTCAATGGAGCAGAAGCCTTTATATCTAATCCTCTTTTGTATTGATAATCATTAAAGATGAGGAGAGCATTTTCCTTTACTGTTTTTTTTATTTCATTTTTGAGGTAAATAAAGGCAACATTAGTATATCGCTTTTCAATACTCGTAAATCGATTAAGCGAAAACAAATCCGGGTCAAAAACCAAAACCGAGGGAAACACATCAACCATAAGAGGAAACAACGGAACAACAGAATCACTGAACTGCAACAAAAACAAGCGCAAATATACATAGAAACGGACCATTTGATAACAAATGCTATATTCCTGACTTAGTACAGGACATTTTAAGAACAAATAGTGGGTTGAACCTGGTTTTATGGCTAGCTTACCTCCCGCTTATATGGCAATGTTAAAAATACCGCTAAAATGACAACATTACGTGACAGGAATACAGTACCAAAAAACACAAGAACACTCAGGACAGAGAAATACATAAATAAATAATATAATAGTACATTACAACATGTAAACAACAGAATAACAACGGACACCTTCCATGAATTTACGACATAATTACACCTTATGTAAGAATCCTGGGTTTTGATTGGTTGATAGCCAGTGTATTGTTCCACATTTTTACTGTAATCAAATGAATATCGTTCATTTTTTAACGCCGCCGGGGTATATGCAAAAAGGATATGCCTTTTTTACCCTCTCTGCCATGGTATTTGCCAAAAAATACTCTATCCGACTTGACGCTTGTAACGTCACGATCATCAATGCGTTTTTGAACGTTAACATTCGGTGTAATTAAACAGATATAGCATGTTCTTGAGGGGTATTTGCGAAAAATACCAGTCTTGAGAATGAATTTCCCTCGCCTTACGGCTCGCGAAATTTAACATTCTCTCGACTGGTATTTTTCGCAAATACCCCTCCTTAACATGATATATCTGTTCAGTACACCAGGACACCACAATAGAATATTAACATTACAGTACATTTAATTGTCATAATTAATATTTTATAAGGTATTTTTTCAGAACATTTATTTCTGCAGTTTAATACATTTTTTCTAGGGATGTCAATTCGGTGAATAATTACTAATCGAGTACTCGTTGGTTTAATCGAGCGGCGATACTCGAGTACTCGCTCGGATATATATCTACAACACGGAAACACAAAAATACGTACTTTACATTATGTGGTTTGTTGTTCAACGGACGGAAAACCATCTACGTATTAAGTATCTGGGACAAGGAAATACACACTATAATTGATAGCTCATTACCTACAAGACTTAGTACTAATTAAGCAAAAAAACAATAATCTAATCAATATAATTTAATGAACACCTATTTAAAAATTATAACAAGGAAAAACCATATTGAACAGATATATCATGTTATGGAGGGGTATTTACGAAAAATACCAGTCAAGGGACGGTGAAATTTCCCAAGCCGCTAGGCGAGGGAAATTTGGTCCCAAGACTGGTATTTTTCGCAAATACCCCTCCATAACATGATATATCTGTTTAATTACACCGAACAGATTTTGATTGAAACTGTCTGTACATGTGAAGGGAAATCGTAGTACCGCGGGAATTATACATGTACTTATATGCGTTAGTGCTGTCTTTTTGTAACGTCATGGTATCTATATGTGTAAACGTCATTGTTATTCCATCATTAAATCGTTCATTTGTATAGACATTTTTTCCACTCTTTATGTATATTTCTGACAGTTTTCGGTTTAACTCAATCAATAGTGCTTAACATTGTTGTCGGGATAAAGTGAGAAAGGTTCCGAATAATTTTGGCGGGAACAGGCTCGCGAGGGTAAAAAAGGAATATCCAAAATGGCAAATATTACGGCAGAGAGGGGAATTTGATGCAAATTCAACGGCAGTGGTGAAAAAACAGGCAAATTCGTTTGAAATGAGGAAAAAATGTTAGAATATGTGAAAAATACACTGGCTAACAACCAATCAAAATCCGGCATTCTTATATAAGGTGTAATTACAAACAATATATTATAGTATTTGGTAATCGTAAAGAAAACACATGTAGAGTATACAAAGGCGTAAAGACTAGAAGTGTAACAATTCACTGAGGATCACCAGAGGATGCAACGAATTTATTTTATTTGGAAACATATTCTTGTCAACTATTATTGGGAACAGTCGGTTTTGAAACTTCGTAAATTACAGTCTTACAGACGAAAATATTTGCTCTGATGGTAACGATGTGACGGAATGGCTAAGACATGTTAAGTTTAAAGTGTTAGTCTAGGTAAAGCCCACGTATTTCGGAGGCATTTAGATGACAATTTAGCACAGACATTAAAAAAAAAAAAAAAAAAAAAAAAAAAAAAAACAATTTGAAAAAAAAAACACACAATCGATGTTTAATTATACTCTACACCACGTAGTTATGGAGAGGATACTGTGTTTGATGCGCCCTTAAGTCCAATCGTTGGCTGTCCGCCATTATTTTGTTAACATCATGGAAGATTGAACGCCTTTACATTTTGAAGGATCCTCTTCACATTTGGCTGAAGGTTTCCACTAATCAAAACTGCGAATGATTTATCAACAGAGGATGATAATACCATCGGAAACTAACAGTACACAAGCAGTGGTATCGATCCAGTGCTAGTAAATAAAAATAACATCACCAGGTACAAACTGTCTACAAGCAGTGGTATCGACCCAGTGCTGGTAAATGATAATAACACCATCGGGAACTTACAGTCCATTAGAAGTGGTATCGACCCAGTGCTAGTAAATAAAATTAACTTTTTATCATTTCATACGTCTTCAGGCCTAAGAAAACTAAAACCAAAACATATTGAAAGCCAGGAGTGTATAAGATCTTAGCACGTGAAGAGATATATGTTCAAAAGGGACCTCAAAAGTTGACCTTAGATGAATTTGGCTGTTTTTGTAGGTCCTTATTGGTCATACAGCCCTTCACGTGGTTAGTTCTTATAATCCCTGGCTTTTCTATTGGTCATACAGCCAATCACGTGGTTAGTTCTTATAATCCCTGGCTTTTCTATGGTCGTACAGCCCTTCACGTGGTTAGTTCTTATAATCCCTGGCTTTTCTATTGATCATACAGCCAATCACGTGATTAGTTCTTATAATCCCTGGCTTTTCTATTGGTCATACAGCCAATCACGTGGTTAGTTCTTATAATCCCTGGCTTTTCTATTGGTCATACAGCCCTTCACGTGGTTAGTTCTTATAATCCCTGGCTTTTCTATTGATCATACAGCCAATCACGTGGTTAGTTCGTATAATCCCTGGCTTTTCTATTGGTCATACAGTCAATCATGTGGTTAGTTCGTATGATCCCTGGCTTTTCTATTGGTCATACAGCCCTTCACGTAGTTAGTTCTTATAATCCCTGGCTTTTCTATTGGTCATACAGCCAATCACGTGGTTAGTTCTTATAATCCCTGGCTTTTCATAATGTTTGGGTTTGACCATTCCTAATAAATGTAAATCCAGAAAAAGGCTTCGGACGCATAACTGAGGGTGGTAAAAGGGTTATTTTCGTGCAACGTTTTCGGCCTTTTAATTTCACGTGTTTTTCGAGTTTTGATGTTTTCTTTCTCGTTTTCTCGTGTTTGGTTCGATGTGTGTGCTTCGTGTTTGCCCTTATTTATTTTCCGTGTTTCGTGTCGGTACTCTTTATTTCTCGTGCTTGTCTCGCATTTGATTAAAAAGTAAACCGGGACTTATTCAAAGTCAGTCCGGATATTGTTTTAAATTGTGTATTAATGAACTGCTTTTCTTCATTTATAGAGTACTTAAATAACAGTATAACTATGAATAATTTTTTTTTTCAAATCAGATGCAACTAGCGGACGCTAAAAGGTGACCGCAGGGTCTTCATGTCCATTAATGATGACTGCATGATCTCCAAGAACGGCTGAATAATAACTTCTAGTACTTTTTCCTTAATATTTACAATTTTATTTCTCGTTATTCGTTTTTCCCGATTTTTATTTTCCATGCAACGTTTTTGCGATTTTAATTTCACGTGTTTCCGTGTTCAGACCCCCCTTTACCACCCTCAAAAATAGTTAAAGTGATACCCTGGGTCAATACCATTGCGCGTGGACTTATATAAAATAAAGATGTGGTATGAGTGCCAATGAGACAACTCTACATCCAAGTCACAATGTATAGAAAGTTAACAATTATAGATCAAAGTACGGCCTTTAACACGGATCATCATAATATCATAAGTAAGTCCATGCTCAATATGACCAAATTTCTGTAAGTATTGGGCGAAAATTGGGTTTGAACTTAGCCATATCGAGATACATGAACTTTTTTTTTTTTTTGGTGAAAGTCCCGCTTTGTACCGACATCATACACAGAGCATGTTAAGTCCTGATTTATGCCCATATCATACACAGAGCATGTGCAAGTCCCACTTTGCTCTGATAGCAGCGGCCAAACTGATTGTATTTGGTCAAATCTCGCGAGACTCACTTACGATATCATAATATCATAAGTAAGTCCATGCTCAATATGACCAAATTTCTGTAAGTATTGGGCGAAAATTGGGTTTCACAGCAGACCTCAATACTATAACGACAATATTCTTACAATTCCTAACTACAACCCTCAACATTCCCAATACTCACCCAAAACTTAAATATTGTCTTGTATAAATAAATACGTCAAATTCTTCAATGAATGAGTTATTTTCGAAACCATCAAAAATAATTGAAATATCACAAACGAAGCCAATCCAAACAAACCACAGTTATGAAATCTCATACAGAAAACTGATCAAAGCAGGATATGCCGACTGCTTTTTCTTCTGTGGGCGCCTGGGTGGCCTAGTGGTTAAGGTAGTTAAGTTTACCTGTAAAATCACTGTACCATGTCACCTCTGCGTTGCGAGTTCGCACCTCGCTTTGTAAACAACAACAAAAAAGGTGCACTCGACTTGCAACCGTACGGGATAAAGTTTGTCAGTTACCTGCCGAAGATCGTAGTTTCCCTCCGGGTACTCCGGCTTCCTCCGCCACTAAAAATGACCGCAACGATATAGCTGAAATACTGCCGACAGTGGCGTTAAACCCCATTCAATCAATCATCTTTCGTGCACCTGAATTGACCTCTTGCTTTTATGTTTTTCTGACTTTCACGTTCTAAATCGTGAATTCTTCAATATACACATATAACCTATGACCTAACTGTAAAGTGTTAATATATTCGGATTAACTGTTGTTTGGGGACATCCAGAGTGTACTATCTGTTATGTGGTAGTTTCTGCTGCATTGACAATCAAATTGGAAGCTCTAGATGTATTTTATGTATAACATCGGGTGGTTAAGTAATGTCTTAGTGCCCTTGCCCTTTATCCGTTCATTTTCATCATCAGGAAATGTCCTTCAAATATCTACCCTAAGGCTTACGCAAATAAATATGAATTTTCACTTAATATGACATGTGTAATTTGTTGTCAACATGATTTCTAATTAGAATAGAAACACTTCCTCGAAACTCAATAAAACAAATTAAGTAAAAACGAATTAAAGAAAAGAAATATTTATTAAAGAAAAGTATATTCGATACAATCCTTACACGACAAATTCTCAATTTCAACATAGATAATACAGTCACACATAATATTCCTCAAAAATACAGGCAAGTCTTATTTAAACAAATTCTCAATTTCAAAATACATAAATAATGGCGATGCATAATATCCCTCAAAATGCAGGCAAGTCATATTCGACATACATAAATAGTAGTAATACATAAAGTCCCTCAAAAATACAAAATCAAATTTAACAATGCATTTAATAGTAACAAACTGTTACTCCAAAGCACTTCAAATTGTCACTGAAAAGCACTGGAAAGTTTATTGACCTCACAATACGACTCAAAAATAGATCTATAAATATTAGAATATGAATCTTTCGGATGGTTTCAAATCGGGATTCATCAACAAATCATCGATATGAACACTAATTGATCGGAGTTTGTCTAAAAACAGAGGCTTTGCTTGTTTTTGTACAACATGTGATTTTGACTGCTCAAACTGAATAGCATGCAAATATTTTTCTACTTCTGGACTACACACAGGATTACCAGTGTCAGTTATTGCATTCCACGCAGAACCCCGACCATTAGATTCAAATATAGCCTTTAATTGTCCTAGCATAGACTGAACAGTTCCCGCCGCCAACCTCAACGGACACTGACATGAATAAATACCTAACTTACCAAGAAATTCACAAGACAAGTCATGTACTTGAGTTTTTCCCTTTGAATCCTTCATGACCATAAATCGCCTAACATCTAAAGGGGAAGCAGACTTTATACATTTAACGGGTACACTTTCAGACAAAAACTTCTCAAACGCCTTTTCCAGCGAAAGCTTTTTCCTATTATAACTAGTATTTCCGACCAAATTGTCTAAATATCGCAGACGTCTTTCAACTGCACAATCACTTGTGCTTTCTTCAGAACTATCAATCATAACAGGTTTTTGTCCACATGACTGGCAAAACTGATATCCAACATCATTTGCATAACCACACACTAAACACTGTTCTGCTGGAAGCCAAACTCGTGGTACAGCCTTCTACAAAAAGGTTAAACTAAAAATGAAGTCGTGCGACAATTAAACGCCAAGGTAAACCATTAGTGTCTATCTTAAAACCTTTAGCAGATGGGTACAACAGAGCTTCAAGTTCATTTTGTCGAGCTAAAACATTCCATTCTGACACATGTTCCCAGAAAAAAGGCCACCAAACTGGTCTTGGGAACAATTCAGGAACCACAAATGTACAACTTCTGACCCCGATTTGAGCACAAAACTTCAAAACTGCAAAAATTAAACAAAAAGGGGGGAACACATAAGGGTTTTTCTCTAACTTCAAGTCTTGAGAGAAAACATTTACACCATCTGAAAGAACTGTGGGGAATGGTGTAAAATGTTTTAACGGATTACCAATTTTATCAATCATAACATTGGAATCTAAAGCCATCAAGTCTGTAGTGTGGGGACCAAACCTCTGTTCACCAAAGTTCCATTTCAGAGGAGACAACATAGCATCTGACAATCTTAACCTTCTGGACTCCCTGTCAGCAGGGTTTCTACTAGAATTAACATACACAAGACGTAGGTCCATATTAACCGTTTTTGAAAGAGTGAATATTTTCCGCAAAACTGCATTCAAAGAGGGGTCCCTACCACCTTGATTACTCCAAGCATTAACTACAGCAAGATTATCACAAAACGCGTCTACCCGAGCATTAACAATTTTCTCCTTAACAGAACAGAGAGAGTGGAGTAGGGCATTTGCCTCTTTAACATGGATAGGAGCGTTATCGTAGTCTTTCCAAAAATCACCAAATTCTACTGAAACCCCTTTGAAAATCATAAAGGCACCCCACTTAAAAAGCGACGAGTCAGTTGCTAAAATCAATTGTAAATGGGTTTCTAATCTCCAGGAGGCAGCTCCCTCCCAGTTATCCAGAAAACGCCAATACTCTAACTCGTCCTTTAACTCTTTGTAAATGCAAATTTTTTTGCTATTTCTAGAAGCAAGGCTAATGGCCCTATTGATTTCCCTTGAAAACAATCTAGCAGAGGGGATAGCAAGATAAAATGAAACACATTTTCCTGCAAAACGTTGCAGGGTTTTAATGCCCACTTCATTGCCATCAAGGATAGATTCCCTTAAAACTCTAAACGATTCTTTTTTCGGCCCCGGCAAGATAAAGGCCAGTTCAGTTGAGTCACAAAACATTCCCAAGAATTTCAAACACCTGGTTGGTATAAAACAACACTTAGCCAAATTCATGAAATATCCCAATCTAACAAGAACCTGACATAGAATGTACAGACTTTTTTCTGCCATTTCTGCACGTCCCGATCCTATCTTCAAAATAGTACCTTTAAACTCACAAACTAACCTATCGTCTATATACAATAAAGAAGGTACACCAAGGGAGCGACAATAGCTGATTGGAACCAGACCGGTAGTGTGATAAATATAAGCACTGGCTTTGAAGCCGAATGGGAGGGAGTTGAAAACCAAGTACCAGCCTGCAAACTGGATTCCGAAATACTGTCTAGAATTAGGATTTAAAAGTATATGATCATAACCAGACTTATCACCAAGAGATGCCATGAACGAATCCTTCTCTAATAATCTAGGAACCTCTTTGAGAGTATCTAAAGAGAAAGGGAGATCCTTAATCCACAAGTTCAGGCATCTTTCATCATGGCACATACGGGGTTTTGAAGGTTCAATGGTGATAGGTAAAACAAGTAAAGGGGGATCACATTCTCCAACTCTACCAAGTACAGTTAAAGATCCATTGGCTATTCTTTCTAATAAAGTGTCAGAGACAAATTTCTCAAATCCTTTACAACTAGCAGAGTTTTGAAAATATACAGGTTGAGGAAGGTTTGAATCATAACTATGCCCCTTAAAATTTCCCTTAAAATGTTTAAACATGGGCTGAATATCTACCCCGTTTTTAATCCAGTCCAAAATTTCATCAGGACAACCTATTTGCTCCCATTGTTCTGAACAATACATCAAATTTCCTGCTTTGAAAAAATTAGGATCTAAAAAAGACAGATCCTCAAAATTAAAGTCACTACCATTTACAACCTCTTCAGCCTTAGGCAAACAAACAGAGGGTTGGGTGATCTCTCCTTTATAATTTACTGAAAGTATGTCACCTTGCTTTCTTAATTTAACTCGTGATGGATCGAAACCCGATTTTAATTCCCAATCTGGAATTTCTGGCTCAAACTTTTCTTTCTTAACCAAAGGTTCATGATCCCTGATATTCTGAAATTAACAAAAAATATCCTTTCACATCTAAAAAATGCTCAGTATTTACAAATTATTTTAAAGGAGAGACACTCAACCCTTACCCGCGTGAAAAATTTCACTGGAGATCGAAGCTCCTGGGAAGGGAAAGGTATCAAAAAATAAAATAAAATAAAATAACAAAACAAAATACACAAAATACAAAAATACACAAAATTAATTATCTTTCTTCATTTTTGGACAATTGGCAATAAAATGTCCTGACTCCTTGCAAAAGTAGCAAACACCGTTAGAACCTCCCCTACCTCTACTTCCTTGCATTCTGGGAGGCCGAAAACCACCAGTATTAAAGTTTGGCCCCGGATAAAAATTTGGATATGGAAAACCAAAACCTGGATTTTGAAACCCATATCCAGGAAATGGAAATCCAGAAGCTGAAGCAGGTGGTGCATCTAATTTTTCCTGCCTCTCCTTTGACCCTGATGGTTCCTCGTATTTCTTAGATTTTGCCCAGTCTGAAATTAAGGAGGAAATCTTCTTGTCCTCCTGGGAACCAAACAATTTTAACACAAGCCCACAAAAATCATCATGATCTTCAAATTTTTTACACATGGCAAAGGATTTTGAAAATAATGAACAGTCTTTATGATTCGCTTTGTTAGCTGCATCAACCAACATTTCGATGGCCGCAAGCAATACTCCCGGTGTTGTAAGTTTTGGTCTTGCTGCCAATGTCCTAACATAAGATAGTGCTTCATCTACCTGTATATCTTTTGATTTGTTCTTTAATTCATCTAAATCCTGCCTCATGGCTTGCAGCTGCTGATTAGTACATGGTTCACCAGGGACAGCTTTAGTACCACTTCCTACAACAGCCAAACAAGAGGGAAATTAATATAACATCCTAACAATAGCTTACTCAAAATGTCAAATTAACAAATACAAGTAATATGACTACAAGACAATGCCTTGACCTCAATTACATGCCTAAGCTGTAAACGGTAAGTGCGTAAAATCAAATAAAAATTATATACCCTTTTTGTTGTTTCAATGCTAAACATATGGAAATTTAGAGAAAATCCACAGCCTTTCCCCGTGTACTCTTTATGTTTGACAATCCTGTATAAATAGATTCATGCAAGTAGTGCTAACACTGATTTCCCTAAATGAGGTTTAAAATAACAAAAATAGTTAAAATAAATACAAATGTAGACCTATTCAAGTACACCTTCTAATGTGTGCTGATTATAAAGATTATAAAGGACTTTGTAAACAATAAACAGTCTATCACATCATGGACAGAGAAGTGAGTAATCTATGTTTAAAATGCTATAACGAAAATCTCTGTAAAGTCTGTATTCTGTAAAAATATAGGCTTGTTAGCCACAAAATCCACATTTTCTATTAAATGCAATGATGTCTCTGACAGAAATAATTATTATTGCTGTGAAGGACATTTCCCTTTAGAAATACACAGGTCTACATAAGGGTTCATAAACCTTAAGTTTCAAATTAAAGTGAGACTACCTTCACAAAAACACTTAATAAAAAGGCTAAATAAGGGCAGACAAACAAACTAACCTGCACAAAATTATTAACACGAATAAGGTAAAAAAGAAACATTCTATACCTTTAGCCGCTGGCGTTTCTGTTGGTGAAGTGTTTTGACTGCTCAACCTCTGACCTCTAGCCCCCAAAGAATTGGCCAAAATGATGCTCTCATGCACAAGTAATCTCACATTCTCAATAGAATCATTCTTTCCACACAGAGTTGATACATCCTTAACTGATTCACCTGGATATAAATAAAATCATTGATCAATTAAACGCAACTGATAGAGTACTATGTGTAAAATCACGAACCGTGAAAACGAAAAAACTCATTGGCAACTCGTTTATATAATAACATCCAACAACAAGAATCAACTTAACATTTCAAAATTAAACTGTCACATATCAAAAACTGAAACATTATCAGCGATAGCCAAATATCAAATTTTAAAGCTATATAAACTTTAAACTGTAGGTTTGAAAAAGTCTTAGAAAAACGTAATAAATTATGAGGCTGCATGGTAAAGGGTTATATACGTGCAAAATGTTCGGCCTTTTTAATTTTCCATGCTTTCGTGTTCTTCGTATTCTCGTGTTTGCATGTATACACGTGCTTCGTGCTTACTTTAATTTATTTCCCGTGCTTCATGCCCAGACATCTAATTTCTCGTGCATGACCTGTATTTCGTGTAAAAAACTAAACCGATGTAATAACATCGATTAAAATTCATCTGTATGCATTTACATAACAGACGCAATTAACAGTTTCTAAATGGACCTTGTGATAACTTCACGGATGGCTGACTATTAAATTTTATTACTTTTCTTGTCCTTATTTCTCGTGCTTCGCGCTTCAACGTTTTGAGGTTTTTATTTTATGTGTTTCCGTTCTCAGACCCCCCTTTACCACCCTCAATTATTACTTACCCGTCAATTTCTCAAATTCCGCTATCAACGCAGCTTTAGAAAAACTCTCCAGGGGTTCGTCCTTCTTAAACCGGGACAACTCTACGACATCTACGTCAGCGTCTGCGGCTTTAACTCTCAATATTATAGGAATAAGACTTTTACCCACAAGGGAACAGTTAGGTTTTAACACCTGAGCCATATCTGAAAAAAAAACAACATTAAAATAGCATTTAAAAATCGTGCAGTGCGGGCAGTCCTCGCCTAAAAGTAAGGATAAAAATTACCTAGACTTATGAACATTTTGATGGATATATTTCATAAAAATAAATGCATTCAAAGTCTTAAAATTGCTAACTGGACTAAGCAAAGCATTTGCCTTATTATTTTCATTACTTCGACAAAGACACAAAATACGGAAACTACTTATCCGAGATATATTAACCAAAGACCCGTAATTAACTAAATTTTAAACCAAACGCAAAGAGAATAAAATTAAAAGTAAACAGTTACATTAACTATAAGTTCAGATAAGTCAGAAAAGTGGCAAGTCGAAAATAGTTACATCAATACAAAATCAGCCTGCAATTGGCAGAATCTTGGCAGCCTCTTAATAAAACGCCGCAACCTTCTGAATAAAACGCCACAACCTTCTTAATAAAACGCCGCAACCTATGCAAACGCCACTTTAAACATGTACATGTATTTAGCTAAAACAAACTTCCCGACTTACAGGACATTTCCTCAACACGCGTCGCAACCAATGCAGACGCAAACTCCATTAAAGTACATTAATTACAAAACAGCTTCCAAATCTCCAAGCTGTTGTTAACAAAATATATTAAAAACATTCATTACATTTAACAAAGATTAAAAAACTTACTTCCACAGTAAGAAAATGCTCTACTTAAGAGAAGTCCAACCACGCTCTACTCAAGAGCAGTAAAAGTCCATGCTTCACGCTTGATAGCAGCGGCCAAACTGATTGTATTTGGTCAAATCTCGCGAGACTCACTTACGATATTGGCACACACCGAACTGCAAGCTATAAAGGGACCCAGGTAAATTTAAATGTAAATGTTACCGATGGTTTCATTAATTGATCAGTAATCAGTGTTTCGGTACTGACATGTTTTTCAAGAAACTTTTCTTAAATTCTTCATTGATAAATTGAGAAATTATTAAGAAACTAAGATTTCAACTCTCTCAATTCACTTTCAAATGAATGACGTCTCCTTGTAGGATTCGATCTCAAGGTGTTCCGAGATCTACAAAAACGATGCCGACATCACTCGGCTATAGGCAAACATACTTTCATCAGTCGAGTGGTTTGCCTATTGAAAAACTGTAAGAAGGTCGGTTTGATTGAGATAAATTGACAGAAATGGGGTTCATATGTAATATTACTACCAACCAATATATGCTGCTTCTTTTGGGCTGTTTGCATCAGACATTGCCATCCGCCTTGATCACAGTTCATGTTATTAAAATAAAACAAAATTTGCAGCTCCATGGGCAAAGTTTTGCATTAAATTTAACACAGAAATTACATGTTTAAAATACAGCATATCTAAAGATCACAACAGGCATATGGTATCTCAAAATTTGTATTACAGTAACAGTTGAGTTTTTTTTTATCTTTTGCTACTCTGGTATAATTTTGAACTTTCAACAATTAATACAATACTATAGTTTAAAAGTAATTATCTACACACATATTTATGCTTTCTAGACGATGAATTAATAAAATATGAAATGTTAAAGTGGTACTTCAATAACTTCCTGATCAGGAAGTTTATGATTTTTTCAAGATATTGCGTCTACTAGGAACTAAATATTATCTCCTTTCCGAATAAAAAGCTTCCAAATAAGCTGTACTTCCTTAAGGATAACGTACATGCCTTGCTTCCCTGTGCTTACTCTTGCTATTAAATTAGTTTTAAGTACTTCCCAAGTTTATTCGACCTTCGATTTCTGTGCTCTTTTTAAGGCCCTCCCCCAAAAACATGCTTGTTTCCTGTCTCCTAACTGAAAAAATACGATAGGCAGGGAATTTATTTCATTTTTAAATTTTCTTTAAACTGAAATACAGGTAAATATCAAATTTCAGAACTGAGGATACTCAAAATCAATACCAAAGGGCAATTCTATACATTTAAGGATGTTCGCTCCTCTTGTTTTTGATTTTTTGCCAGATATTCGGAATCCTCTGGTTTTATCCATGTAGTGCCATTAAAAATTTTTGCCCACTAACCCCTTCTTTTCTTTTCATAATTTGATTACATATAGTTTAAAATGCCATTTTTGAAAATCTTATTAAATTCTTGTTATTTTTTCATACTTTTTGACAGAAAAAAGGTGCCAATGTTAAAATGTATGAAAAATCTAGAGAGAATCATTTCCCGCCAAATTTTCAATGGCTTATATCTCGAAAGCAAGCTCACGGACCCTTCATTTTTTTCTGCTTTTATAGTTCCTTTATTTATAAACTATCAATTTATAACAGTCTTTTTAAAAGCTTGTTATTTTGAAACAGAGTAGCGAACATCCTTAAGGAGAGAAGAAAGCCAGATACATCATTTTTATTTGGTAATTGTCTGATTGACATTTATTCATATTTGGAGGAGACAATATATACTGGAATTTATGACTGATTCGGGCATTTCTTTTGTAAATGCACTGGAAAAACTTGTCTGAGACAAGGACGGTCAAGAAACAAGCGTATATTTTGTTTGGCCTATTATAAGGACATATGAGCATAACCAGGAAGTTCTTATATTAGTTTTGTTTGTTTAACACTGTAATATGGCTATGCCATGAGCATGCAGCATTACACGTCGTACCTCTTTCAACAAATAACCATTTATTATCTCATATATAGAACAGTCAGCCATTGTAAACACATGAGGTCTTACTACATGTACTTTACCGAGTCTTCAACAATGAACATAGACTCATGACGGTGTTTAAATATAAATGACAGGAGATATTTGGTAAACTTAAAACTAATGCAATCGAGACTAGTTCATAACATGGAAATCATTTGTCAAACAGTATACAATTTACTGATATGATTTTTTTTAACAAACTTTTCTTTAATTCGCCGTAATAAATGTAGAAATTATTAGGAGTCTAAGGTTCCAACTCCTTCAAGCAAAGTTGACCTAAAACGACTTTGGCCATTGCTTAGGTCCAAATTTGGTCATTTAGCTCTTCACATGATTAGGACTTATACATCATTTATCTTCAAATATTTGGCTTTGAGCGTTCTTGATGAAAGTAAATCCGGAAAAGTGCTTCGGATGCAAAACATTTGTACGAGCACCGGGTCGATACCACTGCTGGTGGAATGTTAGTATCCGAAGTTTTCATCAGCCCAGTAGCTATTGCTTCGGTACTGACATGATTTATAACATATAAGTTTTTTTTTACAAATTTGTAAATTGTGTTCTCTTACTCTTTACTTCCGTGCAAGCGCTGCATAAGGTAACCTAGCTGCACCATATCGCATTTAAGAATCTAAATTTTTGTTTTAATTAAATATGATTAATTCATGTTCTCAGTTAACATTAAAACATAATTAATGAAAAAAGGCAACATTCCGTTACAAAAATATATTCTAAGGGTAAAGTATTTTAAAAGAAAATCAACGTCTATATAAACTGGCCAGTTTTGGTAAAATCTTTTCAAGCAATTAATGAAACAATTGATGACTGCTTGTCAGATGCCTGATTTGAAAAAGGATATCTGCAAATAAAAGCAGTGGATTAATAAAAGCAGTGAATTAAACCTAGTAAAACCGTGTTTAACCTTCCACTGGTTAATATCTCCTATATTTGTACAAACTATGGATTCAATATAAAAATAAGAAGATGTGGTATAATTGCACATGAGACAACTCTCTACCAAAGAACACATGGCATAGAAGTTAACAACTATAGGCCAACGTACGGCCTTCACTATGAGCAAAACCCATATCGCATAGTAAGCTATAAAAGGCAACGAAATGATTAGGCTGTTTTGAATGTTTGCAAGTGTTTCTGTATGAAAATTGTGAGACTTTAAAAAAATATTAGATGAAACGTTTGTATACAGATACTGTTGCAAGGAAGACTGGGGAAAATACGTTTTCAGGAATATGCATTCCTTTGTCATGCCTTTTTCTGCAACTATACTTTTATAGCTGACTATGCGGTATGGGCTTTGCTCATTCTTGAAGGCCGTACGGTGACCTATAGCGGTTAATTTCTGTGTCATTTGGTCTCTTGTGGAGAGTTGTCTCATTGGCAATCATACCACATCTTCTTTTTTTTTTATTTAACAGTGAATGTTAAAATACAAGTTCAAGAGCAGTACTACTAGGATTAACACTGGCTCCTTATCGAGGAGGACACAGTTGCACGATTATTTAAGATTAACACTGGTTTGTTACAGTTATCAATACAGTTTTTACATGTTACTAAAAGTAGCCTTTCTGGTATTAGGTTAGAAGACGGATACAGCAAAAGAAGGATAAAAAAATTGACTAAAATGCGATTGTCACAAGTGCTCATTTCAGTTAATCCGCTTATCTATGAACATAGTACATATTTAAAAAAAAATATTTCCCCTGTAAGTTAACACTTCTTATTTCAGTATAAATAACACCGCAAATTAAATAAAAAATACTTTTTGTATCCAATTCATTAAGGTAAGTTATAATTTTGAATTCGTTTTTAACTAATGGTATTGTACCCAAATGATGAGTTACTAGCAGAGTGTATTTTAACCAAGTTAAAGATTGTTTCGTATATTGTTGATTGCTTAACGTACAGTGGCACATATTTCATGCATTTTCAATGTTCAGGGCGTACTACAACAATAGATATTACAGGTAGGTCCTGTAATAAGGGGTCTCGCGGGATAAAGAGCGGGAAATTTGGAATGCTACTTGACCGTGTAGGTATTAGATTGGGGAACATTTTAGCATTGTAACTGGCCACCTGCGTACCCTTCAAAGAAATGTTTCAAATGTCTCTGCACGAGGCATCAGAATTAACGTCCCCATTCTGACGGGAAATGGCTGTGAACTTATACATCCTGCTCAGCCAAACGGACGTCATGCATGCACAGTTTAGCAAGCGTTTTACTGCTGTCGGAAGAAGACCATCTGATGACAATATTTCTATACCCCAGTTAACCTTTTAGGTCCCCTAAATTATAGGAATGGACGTTTGAAAGTAAATACGGAACTTGTATAGGTACCTGCTGCTAATTTACAGAATACCAAGGGATGACATCAAAAATATACATATCAAATGCTAATACTAGTATTGCATTGTTTCGTAACTATAACCGCTTTTGTTTCCTTACCTTGAAAATCTGAAGTTTTATGCAACGAACCTGAATGTTAAAAATAACAAATGAGAGGGTTATATATGAATCAAGCAATTTTTGATTTGAAAAAGTGTAACTTATCTATTAATTATGTTTTAAAAATGATCAATTCAGGGAGAAGTTTCTTCATTAAAAGCAAATTCTGTAATTTGGGTAATGAGCAATCGTTTGAATAACACTTGGGGTGTATACATCGTTTAACAATTTTCCTTTAAAGAACGCTTCTTGCGTGATATCGGTTTAAACAGTTTGGGGGGAGATGATATACTAAAAGAACTATTATTTCACTTCCAAAAACATTCGCCTATCCTACGATAGAATTCATCTTTAGTTTGATTTGAATGAGTTTGTTTCAAACGACAATTAATGTACGATTGACATGTTCTTAATTTTTTATTATTTGGAATTCAATCATGTCCGTTCTCTTTATAAAGGGTACATGTGTACTTATTACATGATACAGGACCTTTTAGTGACAACTGTAATAAGAATTCATACTATAAATAGTATATTTGTATGCCCCCGCCGCGGCGTAGGGGGCATTAAATGTTACCCTTGTCCATCCGTCCGTCCGATTGTCAGTACGTACGTCCCAAAATTAGTTTCCGTTCTCTAACTTTAGTTTGCCTCAACCAAATGTTATGAAACTTATACACAATGATTATTACCATAAAACACAGACCAAGTTCGAATTTGGGTGGCGTCACTTTTGCTGTTCTTGAGTTATGCCCCTTTTTTTATTACGTTATATGCAAGTGGGGGCATCATTTGTGTCCCATGGACATATTCTCCGTTTATTTGAAAATAATAGAACTGGAGTTGAATAAGGTCTTCTAATATCTCTTCAGATAGGCCTCTTACTGCAGAAACCCATCTTCTCAAAACCGGAAAAGATGTTCGTGTATTTGCTGTTTACTCTTATGTTAATGACAGATAATGTAAGTTTTAAGTGTATCTGTTCTATGACTTTACAAGAGGGTCTTTATGGGGGGTCCTTAACTTCTGTATTCTATAAGTTTTAGGGCATTATTCTTTATCTTTAAAAATAACGTTCATTCTGTAAGATGCTCATGAAAATGATTTAAGTATTAATTTTTGTGATTTCTTTATTCTGTACATCCTTCATTTTTGTAATCAGTATTTTATTATTTAAGTCTTTTATTTTCCACAGTTATTCTTTATACTTTTGCAACCCAATATTCTATATTCTTTAATTTTTATGCTTAATTTTTCTCTATATATTTTTTTTTGGCCGTTATTCTCTATTCTGTAAAACCCCACCATACCCTTATAAAAGATATTTACCATAATTATGTTTGAATACATTTGATTCGTTAAAATTATCTGTTTAGATTGACTACAACATATATCTATATTAATACATATTAATGGAATATATCTAAAAAATTACTGTATAATTAATACTATATATATATGTATATGCTCGGAAACGGGCCCTTTAATTGGATTCAATAAATATTCTTATTCTATATCAATTTTTTCGGGATACTTTGTAAACGTGTAAATTCAAAATATCTTGCAATTAACATAATAAGCCCTCTCGGTCTTGTGAATATATTTCGTTGGTGCCATTAAAACACCAAAAATCAAATCAAATCAAATCGTTGGTGCCATATATACTAGTAATCTTTTCCTGTACCTATGTTTTTGTCTTCTGTAAATCCGACAACCTATCACTTTTCTTAAATTAGCTTTATTGTACGCTCTTTTCTTTACTGTATATTTTGATAATAATTGAGAGAAAAAAAAACTTGAAAAAAATACTAGCATATTTCTATTTGTACATGTAAAAATATTGAGTTGTGGTATGATTGCCAAATATACACCGAAGACTAAAGGACGAGGATGTAAACAACTATAGGGCAATTTACGGCCTTCGACAATGAGCAAAACACTTACCTTGCATTAAACTATTACAGGCTCCGGCATGACAAAATGTGAAACTATTCAAAAGAAAAAAACGAACGGCCTGTTTTATAATAGAAACAATAAACGAAATAACAAATGTGACAGAAAGCAACCAATGACAACAACTAAATTACAGGCTCCTGGCTTTGGGAAGACACAAAAAGAATGCGGTGAAGTCAAACATGTTTTTTGAGCACTCAACCCTCTCCTTATCTGGGATAGTGATGTAACAGCAAAACATAAGAACCAACTATAATAATAAGTTTGAAAGGGCTTGACGCATTAGATGGACACTAAGCACACAAAGAACCGTTACAAAATGGTTAAAACACATGGAATCGATCTGCGATTACTCACAGTTACTGAAAGATATATCTGGCACAAGTCTGGAACTTCAGTGTTGTCATTGTTTCTACTATATACATTGTAATAAACAATATAAAATGACAAATTATATGTATTTTGTACATTCGAAGAACATTTCATAACGAATCCCCCTTTTTTTGTCTTGTTTAATCGTTAATGTGGGAATAATTGATTGTAGGGTAAACAATTACGTGTATAAAGAAAGATCTTATTTAATCTAATATTTCTAAGGACTTTTTCAAGACAATGAGTTTTTATTGTCATAAATTGAGTGTTTTGTTAAGAAAAAGAAGCATGGCATCTTTAATTGACAAATAGTATATAGTGCATAAAATTGAGAATGGAAATGGGGAATGTGTCAAAGAGACATCAACCCGACCATAGAGCAGACAACAGCCAAAGGCCACCAATGGGTCTTCAATGCAGCGAGAAACTCCCGCACCCGGAGGCGTCCTTCAGCTGGCCCCTAAACAAATATGTATACTAGTTCAGTGATAATGGACGTCATACTAAACTCCAAATTATACACAAGAAACTAAAATTAAAAAAAATGATACAAGACTAACAAAGGCCAGAGGATCCTGACTTGGGACAGCTGCAAAAATGCGGCGGGGTTAAACATGTTTTTTGAGATCTCAACCCTCCCCCTATACCTCTAGCCAATGTAGAAAAAACAAACGTACAACAGTACGCACAGTAAAACTCAGTTTAAGAGAAGTCCGAGTCCGATGTCAGAATAGGAAACAAAAGAAAATAAACAAAATGACAATAATACATAAATAACAACAGACTACTAGCAGTTACTGACATGCCAGCTCCAGACCTCAATTAAACTGATTGAAAGATTATGTCTTCATCATATGAATATTAGACACAATCCCTCCTGTTAGGGGTTTAGTATGTATACATAAGTCTGTAGCACCATTTCAACTGTCTGGTGTATTCTTTATTAAAACAATTATTTACTACATGATATTCTTTTAAAAACATATCTTTATTCAATGTTGCAGGTTTCAGCGAGATCTGGTAAGTAGATTTTTACATTTTTACGAAAACCACATTTTATTGTAGTATTGAGGAATGACGTTAGAGAAAATGGTGTCTTTTTTTACCATGAAAGCACTACATTCTAGTTTTTAAAGTTTTCCGGCTGTGATAATTAAAGAACCTTAGTGAGCGCGCTCACATACCCCACGTCCCCACATTGTCACTGGAGAAATAAAATAACTGTAAGAAAAAAAAAAATTATATAAGAAAAAAAAATTGAATCATAATTTCCTGTCGATATGCACATCTACATAGTATGTCCTTATTATCTACAAAGTTTCATGAAATTCTGTTGTGTGGTTTAGAGGAGTTGCGATGACAAAATGTTGCAGAGGTATATTGAAGCAAATAAGTTCAAAGGGGCGTAACTCCTAGAAAAAAAATTGAATCATAATTTCCTGTCGATATGCACATCTACCTAGTATGTCCTTATTATCTACAAAGTTTCATGAAATTCTGTTGTGTGGTTTCAGAGGAGTTGCGATGACAAACTGTTGCAGAGGTATATTGAATTAAATAAGTTTAAAGGGGCGTAACTCCTAGAAAAAAAATTGAATCGTAATTTCCTGTCGATATGCACATCTACGTAGTATGTCCTTATTATCTGAAAAGGTTTCATTAAATTCTATTGTGTGGTTTGAGAGGAGTTGCGATGACAAAAGGTTGCAGTAGTATATTGGGCAAATAAGTTCAAAGGGGCGTAACTCCTGGAAAAAAATTTAATCATTATTTCCTGTCGATATGCACATCTACATAGTATGTCCTTATTATCTACAAAGTTTCATGCAATTTTGTTGTGTGGTTTCAGAGAAGTTGAGATAACAAACTGTTGCAGTAGTACATTAAAGTAAATAAGTTCAAAGAGGCGTAACTCCTAGAAAAAAAATTGAATCATAATTTCCTGTCGATATGCACATCTACCTAGTATGTCCTTATTATCTACAATGTTTCATGAAATTCTGTTGTGTGGTTTCAGAGGAGTTGCGATGACAAACTGTTGCAGAGGTATATTGAAGCAAATAAGTTTAAAGGGGCGTAACTCCTAGAAAAAAAATTGAATCGTAATTTCCTGTCGATATGCACATCTACGTAGTATGTCCTTATTATCTGAAAAGGTTTCATTAAATTCTATTGTGTGGTTTGAGAGGAGTTGCGATGACAAAAGGTTGCAGTAGTATATTGGGCAAATAAGTTCAAAGGGGCGTAACTCCTGGAAAAAAAAATTAATCATTATTTCCTGTCGATATGCACATCTACATAGTATGTCCTTATTATCTACAAAGTTTCATGCAATTTTGTTGTGTGGTTTCAGAGAAGTTGAGATGACAAACTGTTGCAGTAGTACATTAAAGTAAATAAGTTCAAAGAGGCGTAACTCATAGAAAAAAAATTGAATCATAATTTCCTGTCCATATGCACATCTACCTAGTATGTCCTTATTATCTAAAAAGTTTCATGAAATTCTGTTGTGTGGTTTCAGAGGAGTTGCGATGACAAACTGTTGCAGAGGTATATTGAAGCAAATAAGTTTAAAGGGGCGTACATCTTAGAAAAAAAATTGAATCGTAATTTCCTGTCGATATGCACATCTACGTAGTATGTCCTTATTATCTGAAAAGGTTTCATTTTGAATTCTATTGTGTGGTTTGAGAGGAGTTGCGATGACAAAAAGTTGCAGTAGTATATTGGGCAAATAAGTTCAAAGGGGCGTAACTCCTGGAAAAAATTGAATCGTAATTTCCTGTCGATATGTACATCTACGTAGTATGTCCTTATTATCTACAAAGTTTCATGAAATTTTGTTGTGTGGTTTCAGAGGAGTTGAGATGACAAACTGTTGCAGTAGTACATTAAAGTAAATAAGTTCAAAGAGGCGTAACTCAAAAAAAAAATTGAATCGTAATTTCCTGTCGATATGCACAACTACATAGTATGTCCTTATTATCTAAAAAGGTTTCGTGAAATTCTGTTTTGTGGTTTGAGAGGAGTTGCGATGACAAGAAACAGGACTGACGGACTGACGGACGGACAGACGGACGGACGGACGGACGGACGGACGGACGGACGGACGGACGGACGGACAGACGGACGGACAGACGGACGGACGGGTCAAAAACATTATACCCTCCGCAACTCGTTGCGTGGGATATAATTAACAAACAAAGTAATATATTTGGTTCGTCTAATTTCTCTGAATAAGTGATTTGATCACTTACATTGACATGCATTGCATAAAAATGTAATATAATTAAATTCAAAATGCAAAAAGTTAAATGGTAGTGAGTGAATGGTTGACGAATTCCAGGAAGCAAGTATGTGGCTGAATAAAAATATTTGACTTTCAAAGGGCCTGGCATATTCCAAAACATCACTTTTTGTCAATATTGGTGATATTCTATCAAGTTATTTATATAACAATGTCACCATTTTGAGGAAATCAATTTGAGCATGTTCGATACTCTTGTTTTTGAATTTTTGTCAGATATTCGGAAACCTCTTGTTTTATTCATGTAGTGCCAATCAAACTTTTGCCCGCTAACCCCTACTTTTCTTTTCATAACTTTATTACATAAATTTTATAAAATTCTTAGTATTTTCTAGTAGTTCTTATATGAAAAAAGGTGCCAAAGTTAAATTAATGAAAAATCTAGAGGGAATTATTTCCCGCCAAATTTTTGATTGATTATATCCCAAGAACATGGACCTGTCATTTTTTTTGGTACTATTAAGGTTCAGTTATAATATACTATCAATTTGATATAACAGTCTTTTAAAAAGCTTGTTATTTTGAAACAGAGGAGCGAACATCCTTAAATGGTTTATATATATATAACCAATAACTGTAGGAGTTGTTCCGTTTTCAACCTTCTCGTTAGCATGGTTAGAGCGTCATATTTCGTAGAATTGTTTGCAATTAATTGTTTATTGATTGTTTTTATTTAAATTAAATACAATGACAAACTTATTTATTTTAAAATCGGCAAGACAGTTATGGGAAAGTGTCTATACTGTAACGTTGATCTATAAGAAAAACAGATATGACGCACGGTCTCGTATATGTTGAACGCATCTATTCAATCTAACTTGAAATAAAAATACCACAGATACAGTTAAGACTGCCTCATATCTTGACTTACATATAGAAATGAGGGTCGGTTGAGTACAAAACTTTTCAACAAATGAGCTGATTTCAGCTTCCCAATTATAATTTTTCCATTTTCATATTTCAGCAGCGCATGCAGATTGAGTATACATCTCCCAGTTGATATGATATTACATAGCTTGCTTTTCCTGTCACGATTTCCTTGATAGAAGATCTCTGCTAGCAAGGAAGCTATGAACCAAAGGGTTCTAAGTGGTGAAGTTGAAATCATCCCTTCGAAAATTTTACGGATGCAATTACGTGTTGGTTGACCGTTATGGAATAACTTTTTTTACAGATGACAACGGACATTTTCCAAAAATCTCCATCTACTTTCTTCTTTTCGAATGTGACATCACGGAATTTGTACTTACTTGAGCAACACGACGGGTGCCACATGTAAAGTAGGAATAGCCTATCCTTCCGAATCACTTGGTATCACCCCCAGTTTTTGATGGGGTTGGTGTTGCTCATTATGTAGTTTTCTATGTTGTGTCCAGTAGACTGTTGTTAGTCTTTATGTTGTTTTATACTTTTGCCATGGCGGTGTCAATTTGTCTTCGACTTATGAGTTCGAAATATCACTATGGTATATGTCGCCTCTCTTTAATATGAGCTTCCTTGAACAAAGAATTTCATACTTGCTATAATTTTATTATACGTTTAATTTAAAAAAAAAACAGGTGTTATTCTGACAAACATTTGTTCTGAAGGATAATCTGAATTTTAACTGCCTTTCTAAAAGTAATTGTAAACTATATGTTATCCTCTAGATGTCATTCGGTTATTTATGTTGCTAGGTTGCTGTACCCTCACTGATGTATAGCCCACATTTCCATTTAATCATAACGTATGTATTTATTTTTCCTCAACAGAGCCAATATGCGATTCTCCTGTTGATATCGCGTTTGTCGTAGACACTTCTTCTAGTATCGGACCACAAAACTTCATCAAACAGATCAACTTCATACACGATGTTGTGCAAATGATTAACATCGGTCCAGGATCGAGTCAGAGCCGTGTTGCTGTGGTGTCCTTCAGTAGTAGTGTCGTACCTGAGTTTGGCTTCAGCAAATATCAGACAGAAGTAGACGTTCTGAGTGCAATAGACAACATCAAATTTGTATCTGGGCTATCTACGAGAACGTATTTAGGCTTACAGTATGTTCATGAGTCATTGTTTGCTCCTGGTAATGGAGAAAGACCTGGCATTAAAAACGTTGTTGTAGTTCTCACGGACGGTCAAACAAACCCAGGCAGAATTCAAGTATCTGGAATTGAGGGAAAGCGGTTGACACAAGAAGAGGCATCTAAAATCCGAAATCTACCAGCCTATGTCTTTTCCATAGGAGTTGGAAATAAAGTGGACAAAAATGAGATACATGGGATAGCCAGTAAACCATCAGATACTTTCAGTATTTTTGTCGACTCTTACAACAGACTTGATACCTCTGTTATAAAACATACCGTACTGGAAAGTGTTTGCAATGGTATGTTCGACAAATTAAAATATATCAGTCTTTTTCGTTAACATTCCATTACTATTCAAAACTCGTGTCGTGCGAAATGTCATCGATATAAAACGTTTTTTTTTCTCTCGGATATTCCGCTAACCACGTTAGTACAAAACATATCTTTTCATATAATTACAGGGCATGAAATGGGGATAAATTCGTTAAATTGTTCACAAAGAGCTATTCTTTTTGCACATCTTATTTCATTCTAAATTTTTCAATTGCTCCTCTGTTTCAGAGCAAATATTTTGGAAATCACATCTCAAATGGGAAATAACCCAAAGTGTCTATCTTTACTTTTTTTTTCTGAACACAAGTTCTGC